CAGCTACCTACTAAATAATATCTACATGCAATTCACTAATAAATTACCATATGAATCCAATGTAAAAAGTCAAAGTCTAAACCAAGCACTTAAAAATTATACAAATAGCTGTAATAGAAGCACAAATAAGTATATTTCTTAAATCAAAACAGCAGAAGGGAAGGGCAAACAGTCATGAGAGTCAGGAATAACTAATAAAAATATAAGACTAAATCAAAATATGGTAATCACAGTAAATATAAACAGTCTAAAGATAATCAGACTAAAGTTTGTTTGTTTTTTTTTTTAACGATTGCAAAATCACTTTTTATTTTCACAGAGATGGGGTTTGCCTGCCCTGGGCTGGCGAACTTTAGGACAGTGATATTTGTTTTCTTTTTTTTTTTTTAATTTTATTTTTCTTTTTAGTTACATTTTGTTAACTCTGTGTCCCGCTGTATCCCGCTCCCTCATTCCCTCCCCAACCCCGCACTCCCTCCCTGGTCTCCTCCCTGCCCCTTTCCAAGTCCACTGATAGGGGAGGACCTCCTCCCCTTTCATTTGACCCTGTTTTATCAGGTATCTTCAGGGCTGGCTGCAAAGTCCTCCTCTGTGGCCTAACAGACTGCTCCTCCCCTGGGCAGACTAAAGTTTTTAAAATGAGTAAATCTCAAAAAATATCAAAAATAATTACTAAAGAGGCTAGAAGTAAAAGGAAGGGAAAAAAGGTATTCTTTGCACACATATAAACAACAGACTTTCCTGGCATTACACATGCAGGCTTCTGTGCCAAACAGTAACTGTAAAGAAAGGATAAGCATCCTAAGGATAAGTGTCAGTTCACCAAAAAAAACTATAATCCTAAATGACAACACCTAAACAAACACAGGCTCAAACTACAACAGAAAAAAAGGAGAAAGAGACAAAATCCCAGAGGAGAGTTGGAGACATTCTTCCCAGTAATCAACAGAACTAATAGGCTGCAATGATCCAGAAGACTGAGATGAACAGCAGCACCACCAATTGGGTCTACTGGCACTCCCAGAACTTTCCAGTGCCAAACACAGTAGCTGTTCTTTTCAAAGGCACATGGCATGAGCCAAAGGCGACACCCCGAGTTGACACAGCCTAGCAAATGTAAAGACCTGAAATTTACAAAGTATGCCCCAAGACCATGATAAAGTATACAGAAAACATCAAAAAGGAAAAAAAGAAAAATCTCAAAATACTTGTAAATTAAACAATTCCTCCATTGCTGGTGGGAATGTAAACTTGTACAACCACTTTGGAAATCAATCTGGCACTTTCTCAGACAATTAGGAATAGTGCTTCCTCAAGATCCAGCTATACCACTCCTAGACATATATCCAAAAGAGGCTCAAGTATACAAGGACATTTGCTTGACCATGTTCATAGCAGCTTTATTTGTAATAGCCAGAAGCTGGAAATAACCCAGATGCCCCTCAACTGAGGAATGGAACATCTACACAATGGAATACTACTCAGCAATTAAAAACATCCTTGTTTTTAATGATTTGCCAGCAAATCATGAAATTTGCAGGCAAATGGTGGGAACTAGGAAAGATAATCTGGAGTGAGGTATCCCAGAAGCAGAAAGACACACAGGGTATATACTCACTTATAAGTGGTTATTAGACATATAGGATAAACATACTAAAATCTGTTCACCTAAGGAAGCTAATCAAGAAGGAAGGACCCTGGGTAAGATGCTCAATCCTCCTTCAGAAAGGCAAAAAGGATGGACATCAGAAGAGGGAGAAAACAGTAAACAGGACAGGAACCTACCAGAGGACCTCTGAAAGACTCTATTCTGCAGGGTATCAAAGCAGATGCTGAGACTCACAGCCCACTTTGGGTAGAGTGCAGGGAATCTTATGAAAGAATGGGGAGATAGAAAGACTTAGAGGGGACAGGAGCTCCACAAGGAGAGCAACAGAACCAAAAAATCTGGATACAGGAGTGTTTTCTGAGACAAATACTCTGACCAAGGACCATTCATGGAAATAACCTAGAATCCCTGCTCAGATGTAGCCCATGGCAGTTCAGTGTCCAAGTGGGTTCCATAATAATGGGAACAGGGACTGTCTATGACATGAACTGACTGGCCTACTCTTTGATCATCAACCCCTGAGGGGAGGGCAGCCTTACCAGGCCACAGAGGAAGACAATGCAGTCACTCCTGATGAGACTTGATAAACTAGGATCAGAAGAAAGGGGAGGACTGGGGGAGGGGCATGGATGGAGAAGAGGGAGGAAGGGTGTAATTGGGAGGGGCTGAGGGAGGGGGTTACAGTTGGAAAACAAAGTGAATTAACTAATTAATACAAAAAAAATTAAAAAAAGGAAAAAAATCCTCGCTGAAAATAGTAACAATACATTCAAATTTGTGCAGCATGGCTAAGTTGTACACAGACACACAGCATGGATGCTTATCTTAGGAAAAAGTTCTCAAACCAACACTCTAAACAATTAGAAAAAAAAAAAGAAAACTAAATGCTAAAAGTGAAATAATTACACAATAAATTTGAACACAGAATGACAAGCAAAATGCAGACATAGATGCACTGGTTCTAAAGTTTTGAGAGAATATTAACAGTAATTTTAAAATGATAAAATGTGAGAGCTCGTACTCCCTGACTGTCTCTTAATCTGTTTGTGTGAGTACCTACAGGCATGATGCGCATTACATCATGCCTGTCAAGGCCCGGGAGGGGGTCAGATGCCCTGGAACAGGAGTGGGAGTGAAAGCTGTGAGCCACTAGGTGCTGGAAAAGGAACCTGTGTCCTCGCAAGAGCAACAAATGCTCTTAGCTGCTGAGCTGTCTCTCCAGCCCGATACTATTTGATTTAAACAGGTGCTATAAACCCAAGCAAGGAAACCAAGATAGAGTGATACTGAAAACGTACTGACCTACAGAGCACTGGAGCAGAACTCAGAGTAGCTATTGACTATACAAACCAACAACCAACTTTTTTTTTAAGTAAAGCTTTAAAGGCAATTCTGTGAAAATAGGATGTTTTCTTAACAAAATGATGCTAAAGCCACTGTGCTTCCATGTATAATAAAATGAATACTCTCATACCTGTACTAAAATTAACTCAGTTTAATAGGAAAAAAAGCTGTCATGTTGAACTTTCTAAAATTAAACCATTTCTGTCTGAGAGATGGTAAGACAAGCTACAAATGAGAGAACATATGTGAAAATCATGCATCTGACAAAAACTAACACCTAGAATATAGAATAAGATCTCTCTAAACAGTAAGGAAACAAATGATGGAAAGAAATGGGCAAAAAATTAACAGACATTTTACCAAGTAAGCACGTCAAAGGATATTCAGCATCTTTAGTTATTAGGGAAATAAAAATTAAAAGCATTCTGTGATATTACTACATGCTCGTCAGAATAGCTCAAACAAAAATCGGCGGCAACAACAACTTCTGGTAAGGACACAGAGCCACCAGGACACTTACACTGGTGGTGGGAACAACCAATGGTATAGCTTGTCTGGAGGGCATTTGCCAAACACTGCCCAGAACCTACCAGCCACACTTCTGCATTGTTTCCTGTGTAAATGAAACTTAGGTCCATGAAAAACAAAACAACAAAAACAAACCCCATATGAACACTGGGAACAATTCAAACGATCCTTGGTTAGGGATGGATTTACAAACTGTGGTATAGCTAATGCAGTTAGATACCACTGAGCAATCAAAAGCTATCAACAACTTGGATGCATGTAACGTACTAAGTGGTACTGTGTATGCTAAATGAAAAATGTAACTCTTGGGGTACTCGGATGAGCTAGCCCTGAAAGAGACTGATTAGAGTAACAAAACAAATGATAGTTTCTATGGGTCCTAATGAGAAACTGTGAGTGAAACAGGGAAGCACATGGGGGTTGGTTCAGGTGTTGGGTTATTCTGCACCCTCTCTGTTTTATTGAATACATAAAGCTGTACATGTATCAAAACTGACAGAAAAGCACAACAAAATAAAGTCCATGTTACTATAATTAATTTGAAAACAAAGAAATACATCATAAAATACATGACAGCATGAGAAAGACCTGCACAAGCTCAAACAGACAAAGTCTTGGCCTGCAGGAGGGAAGGCGGATACAAACTCCCTCTATCCGAGAAGCTTGTCCCAGAGACGAGGAGAGGGACAATCCGCTCTCTCCAGCAGCGTGTAACCACACCCCAGGGCAGCGCCCAAGGCTCATGAACAGTTGGGACAACACAATTTAGAGCCCATTTTCTTTTAGGAGAGCAAAAAAAGAGCATGAGGCTGCCTAGGTAGGGAGGATTTGAGCGGTCTTTGGGGAGGAGAAATATAATAAAAACATATGTTAAAATATTTCAAAGAATAAACAAAAAAAGATTATTTAAATGCATACATGAAAATTATTCAGCACACCATTTGGCTCAGCAGAAAACTGCATTTACAGTGAAATACTGAGCAGTCTAATGGAAGTCTGATATACAGATGGTGGGGAAGGAGAATGGCGGTTAAGTTTATGTGTGAAGAGATAAAAAAAAATCTTTCATGCCAAGAAATCCAAAGACACTTAAAACTGAAAAATCAGGAAATAATAAACACACTATTAATGAAATAATTAGAGGTAAATTTCAAAACAACAGCTAAACAAGATGAAAATGGTTGTTTTAAAAACAGAAAATGTGGGTGTCATGAAGGACTCTACGTTATATGCATATAAACACTTTTTAAAATAAAAACATATTCTTCCAAAAATATTTCCTGATGCGTTTTCCTAATATTGCTTCTGAAGGCTTCTAATGCTGCCATGCTTGACTCCGTCTTGGGACAGTAACCTATACATCTGCTTTTCTTTCCTGTGATCAGCTTTGTTCCACAGCCATGGTCCTGGGGACTATCGAGGAGGCCATTTCTAAGTCAGCGTCAGTGTGGTCCTCGCAGATGGAGGCAGTGGGGCTTAAGTCTGACTGGATTAACTGAATTTCAAAACCACCTCTTACCTCATTCTCTTCCTTCGAATCCTTGGGCTGCAGGATGGACCACTGTGGATCGTCGTCACAGTTCTTATGTGCTTTCAATGATGTGAACTGAGAATCCTTTACCAGTTCTTTGGACACAGATTTAAGGTGATTTACAGAGTTTTCATCATTAATACCTTGCTAGTAGATACAAAAGAGAAATCATTTTCTACATTAATGCTGTTTCCAAACCTGCATTCCAAACTTACATTTTGGTGGAAATTTTACACTATAGTTCACACATGCACATAGCACATAAGTGTTCCTCTTTTTTTTTTTTTAATTTCACCCCTCTGTTCAACTACGTCAGGAAACAAACATTGTTGATTACATAGTATCAAGTGTCCACCAGGTAGCCTGTAACCACAAAGAACCCAAAGGTTCCAGATCTCAACAACTAGAACTAGAGGAGAACACACAACCAGGCAATGGCAGTGCGGTCTTCCTGGCACAGCCCTCAGACACATGGCATGCACATTCCAGGAAGGATGTCTGAGAAGCAGTAAAAGGATGGACACTGTGAGGACACTCAGGACCAGGAGGGGTGAGCAAGAGGCTGAGCCTGCAGCCGTGTGCATGCAGCCAGCACACAGAAGCTCTGCTGTGTCAAAACACAGTCAGAACATCTATGTTTTTCTCTTTTGCACAAAAGGCAGGATTTCATTTCTAGAATCAAACTAAGATTATTTGAAGATTCCAACAGATAATAAGATATTCTAAAAAGGTTAAACAACAAATTAAATTCATTCTTTAAGAATAATGAAATGCAATTATTCCAGTGCAGTAAAAATGATTAAGAAAGATTCAGGTTTGTTATAGGCCAAACAAACCAAATTAATTAAAAACAATTTTAGGGGGCTGGAGAGATGGCTCCGTGGTTAAGGGTACTTGCTGCTCTTGCAGAGGACTCAAGTTTGATTCCCAGCATCCCCACGGTGGCTCACAACCATCCATGACTCCAGTTCCAGGTCCAGTGTTCTCTGTGGTCTCACGGGCATGCACACTGTGCTGCATTACTTACATACAGGCACAACATTCATAAAGTAAATGCATCACTCAAAAACTTTAATGATTTTTATTTTATGTGTATGAATGTTTTGATTGTATTGTCTGCCTTTTGCCTAAAGAGCCAGAAAAGGGAATTGGATCCCCTGGAACTAAAGTTACAGGCAGTGCTGAGCCATGATGTGGATGTTGGGAACCAAACCCAGGCTGTGGTCTTAACCACTGAGCAATTTATCCAGCCCCAAGCCAAACTCATTTTAACAATAACTAGAAAGCTAAGGTTTTTCTATTGACTTTGAAACGCAGCAGGAGCCTTTCATATCTCTGTGTGTTGGTTTGAGACAAAGTCTTGCTATGGAGCTTAAGCAAGTCTCAAACTTGCTTTTGGCTCCTAAGTGGTGGCATGACTGGTATGTGCTGCCCACCCTCGGCTAACTCTTCCGTACTTTTCAAAAGAAGTTAAAATCATAGTGGTCCAAATGGCCTTGCCTTTGACTCTTTTTCAATAGCCTGTAAATACTTATTTAAAAAAAGGCTTTACTGTCTCCAACATGCATTGATGTACCTATCACACAAAAGGATATTTTATATCCACACACACAAAAGACCTTGTGCCAGCAAACAAAACACATTTCCTCTTAAATGTAAAACATCCAATATTCGTAGCCCAGTCTCTACTGTCCTGGGATGTCAGAGGCAGAGGAGCAATATGTTACTCTGTTGAGGAGGCATTCCATTCTTGCTGTTCGCTTCGCTTTCCCTTCATGCTCAATGGTCTGAGCAGTGACCGCTCTGAAGACTAAATTACTGTGGGAGTACTTACAACAGTGCCTGGGGTACACCACTAGTTCAAGAACTGTTTCTAGTCTTATTTGAGCTGGAGTAATACATGTTAATGGAAAAAGTATTATAATACTATCATTACCATGGTGGGGAGAGCTGGCTATTTTTACAGAGTATGAAAAAAGATCACTCAAAAAATAACCCGAGTAGCGCAGGAGCATTAAGACAGGTAGCAAGGGCTGCAAGATGCTCAGTGGGTAAAAGCACTCTTCAGCAAGCCTGACAGGCCAAGTTTGGTCCTGGGACTCACATGGGACAAAGAAAAGACCAACTCCCACAAGTTTTCTTCTGACCTCCAAATGTACACTGGGACATGCATGTGCCTATACACATACACACAATAAATAAATGCAATAAAAATATATTTAAAAGGATGGCATTGCCATCACCAGTGTGGGGAACCACAGCCACACAGAGGAAGCAAGAAAATTTGGTGCATAAGAGGAAATGTTCAGGAGGAAATAGAATGAATGCAAAGGATTAAACTGTCAAAGAGAGACAAGGTCAGTGTTACTGTCACTGTGCAAGATTCCCCGATTTTCTGCCTGGAAAGCTTCATCTATCTACAAAACGAGGACACAACTATTGTTAATGAGAGTAATTGTATCTGAAAAGCTTTTTCCTTGGCTGTGTGGTGCACTCACCTTGGACTGCTGCTGGATCTCCCTGTCTTCACTGAAATAGTGCTGCTGAGCAGGGTGCCCCAGCTCTGTTCGGACCCCATCACCAGGCACTCCACTGGAGTTGGTGTAGAGTGCTAATGGGTTTAGGTCTTTGAAGCCCTAGGATAAAGCATTTAATTATAAAATCAACTAGAGAAGGTGAACAAGCTGGCACTTTGAAATGGCACTGAAACATATTTTCTAACATTACTAAGGTGAAAATTCCATATTGATACTTCTTTAGCTACAAAAATAGCATGAAGACGAGAAATGTAGGTGTTCTTCTCTAGGAAAACATTAACTAAATACTCTTGGATTAGAGAAATTAAATCACCCGTTTTAAACACAAGTTTTTGTCAACGATTTAAAGAATAGCAAAATGTGGAGTTGTCTTGGTGGTAACGACCTGGTTTCAATAGTCACTTGCAAATGAAGAGGATGCTCTGTATTAAGAAGTCAGGAACCTAACAGACATCTCTAGGATTGAAGGGCAGGCATAACGTTATTGTATAATTCAAAAACTTCTTCCTCCACCCTCGCCCCCGTATCTGGTTGCAACCGTTGGTCTGAGAATTTTGTCTCAACGTTGTATAAACGCTGCTTCCCAGTTGTTCCTGGTATGCCAATCATAAAGCAGCTTACAGCCAATCGCTGAGCAGGGAAGAGAATAGGGCTGGACTTCCTGCCAGCCATGGGAGGAGGAGTTAGAGGAGGAAATAGGGGATTGAGCCGCAGGAGAGATCTGAGAGACATCAGAAGGAGCAGGATCAATAAAATAAAAAATGCAAGCAGCTCTGGAATGTACGCTGGGAGATTATCTTAGTGGGTTAAGAACAGAGTAATAACTGCTCAGTTACTGTGTCATGAAGCTTATTATTAAACAAACATAAAAGAGTCTCAATCATTTGTGTGATAGCTGGGTTAAGAGAGAAACCGAGAAACAGTTTCATAAAAGTAACTATAACACTTTAGTGTACCAAGTGGGCCCCAGCTTACACTGAAAGTAAAACTACAAAGCAGTTTCTTAGTTATGTTCATTAAGAAAGCAAAGTTTCTAAGGCGGAGCTCAAAGCTTCCTGATTAGCCCCCCCCCCCCCCACACACACACACACATACACTCCCGCACAGCACCCTCTGTCCCCCGCAGAGCAGCAAGGCCTCTAGCTGCCTGCAGAAAACAAAAACGGATTAAAAACAAACAAACAAACATAGAGGCAGTTCTTTCAGGAAGCCCTTGTTAAGAGAAGAAAAAAGTGGCTTTTAACACAGCCAAGCTTCTCAAAGCTTAGCCAGGGCAGGAAGCTAAATTCCTCGGATCTTGCTGGCCTGACTCATGCACTCCAGAGAAGCAAATAATTGCGGACCCAAAAAACTTTCCAGCGTGAGTGAGAGGTCAGGATCTGTGAGGAAGGCAGGAAAAAAGCTGCTCCCTCGAAGCAAACGCTAGAGACAGAGAAGCCTCAAGCATCTGAGCTGGTAAGGTCTAAAAGGGAAGACGGGTCTGAGAAAGTAAAGTCCTTAGGGAAAGAAGCTGGGTTTTAAAATTGGTAGATGTGAGCGAATACGGCATATAAAGATGAAAGACACAGTAACAGAGGTTTTGGATTTTGTTAAGTGCTCTTTTCATAATGCCTAGATACACATGGGGGGAGAGCATGTTACTGACTGTGACCACTGTTTTTACTTGGATGATCATTTTTGCTTTCTATATACCTCTTCAAAGGTTTTCCGAAAGTATAGAGGAAAAATTATAAAAATTTATACACTGGACTGAGGAAAATGCTAAGGTATCAGATAAAATAACAATGAAATGTGGAACAAGCTTTAGAAATTAGAGAGCTTTATAATTAAGAATAAAAAATGATACTAAGAGACAGAAGAAAAAAGGTCAGCATATATAATACCACTTTGTAATAACACTACAGGATGGTTTCTATCAGTAAAAAAAAATAAAAAAATAAAAAAAAATGGTTTTCCTAGCTTTGATAAGGGAAGTACCAGATGAAGAAAATCTACAGGGTTATCAAGAATTTGGATGACAACCTATAGAGGCACAAGAAGGCTTAAGGAGGCAATAACTAGTTATGGCCTACACTCACCATATATTAAACAAATGCTTCCTGGGTCACACAGCATCACTTAACTCCAAAAGCCTGGAGAGACCTGATGACAGCCAGTCTAGAGCCTGGCCCTAAACTGCAGTGGCTGTCATGGTGGGAAGATGAGGCTTTACTTACGGGACAACAAAAGAGGACTGTAGGCCTTGATCCTGTCAAGGACCAGTTACCAGGTGAAGGTCGGTGTTCTGAATTAAGGGGACGGATTACTCTTGAGGATGTTGACCTAGAACAATGCCGTACAATGGCCTTCAATGCTTGTGACAAGGCTGAACAGCAGGGACAAACTGGATCATTTACAAAGATAACCCAAGGTTCAAATGAGTCTTTCATTGACGTTTCACAGAGATCAACTCAAGCTCTCAATAGAACAATATCAGATCCAAATTTTAGAGAGGTTCTACTTGGATCTCTAGCTTCTGAGAGTACGAATGGTGAATGCAAAGTGCTATTATTAGACCCTTGAGGGCAAGATCCATACCTCTTCATGACTACTACAGACACAGAAACAAATGGTCACAATTCGGTTATGGTTGAACTAACAGCTACAGGAGACATCAAAACACAAAATGCCCATAGCCATGGTTGAGAAAAATCAAGTCACTCCCTGAAGGACTGTGAGCAAACAGTTCCTAAGGATAAATTCTTCATAATAGGGATAATTCGGATAAAAGATTTCCTCTGAAATGTACATGTGGGAGGAACAGTCATATGGCTCATGAATGCAGGTCATCCAGGGATACCAGAGGCAATTCCTTAATTTTGGAAAATAACTAAGGGGCTTCGCTCAAGGCCTGAGAAAAAACATGAGCCATTCACTTCCTGTCCACCAAAAAAGAATTATTCTAAAAAACAACTAGAAAATTCAAGGCCTAGTGGTACAAATAGGACTACTGAAAATTAAATAAACCATTTAATGGAGATAAAGATGCTTCTAGTGATAAAACAAGAGATAAAGATTTAAAAAAAGACATCTTGAAAAACTACTATAAATGACAAGAGACCAAAATTAAATTATAGTTAGGTGACATTGAGATTGAAGGATTAGTAGATACTGGGGGAAAGGTCATAATAATTTCCCCAAATTCCTGGCATCCAGTCTGGCTACTTCAAAAGGTATCTACACAGTTCTTAGTAATTGAGTCATTGTTACAGGTAAAACAAAGTCCAGAATGCCTTAAATGTGCAGGACCAGAAGGCCAAATAAGGAAACTAAGGCCATATGTGGCAGATATAGCCATGAACTTATGGGGAAGAGATGGACTGCAACAATAGAAAACACAGATTAACGCTCCTTCAACTTTAGAGACGGGCTGTGAAGGAGGAGATATTTCTAATAAAAATATTAAGAGATGTTATCGAAGATGGTTACCTACTGTCCAAGCTGCCTGTAGGAAGGGTATAACAGAGGCTGTCTCTTCAACCTTGTATGAGGAAGCCACCACTGGAGGTTTTAAAGATAACCAAACTCCCATATGTTTTAATTGTGGAAAACAAGGTCATTTAAAAAAATAGTAAGCAAGGCATTCCTAGAAACAATTGTTTTTTTCTAAAGGTTAAAAAGCAAAACAAAACAAAAAACAGGGCCCCAGCCTTCTGGAATATGCAGAAGATGTGGCAAAGGGCAACACTGGACTGATGAATGGACATCAACAAGGGACAAACAAGGTAACTCCTTATCAAGAACTTCCCCAAGAAGCCCCAATACCAAATTCAAATCAGCCACCTCAGGTCAACAACAGAAAAAATTCATCTGCAGAAAAATTAAACAACACTGCTCTGAATATAGACCTTAACACACAGATATCAAAGCCGGAGAAGCTTCAATAGATAGAACAAAAAAGCTCAGGAAAGACCAAAAAAACAAGTATTTTGGCAAACTGCTATAAAAGGTAAGGGGCCAGAGTTAAAATTACAAGTAGATGAGAATAAAATTAAAGGCTTATGGATACAGGAGCCAATGTACAACTTCACAGCACTCCTGGAATCCAACTTGGCCACTTCGAAAGGTATGTAACGCAGCACAGAGGAGGTAGGACATTGTTTCAGATAAAGCAAAGTGCATAGGACCAAAAGAGAAACTCGAAAAAGTAAGGCCTAAATATAGAAGTCACAGAAAGATCTATATATGTGTGTGTTTAAATTTTTTATTTATTATGTATACACCGGATATCATTATGCACCAGAACTCATTATAGATGGCTGTGAGCCACCATGTGGTTGCTGGAAATTGAACTCAGGACCTTCGGAAGAGCAGTCAGTGCTCCTAACCTCTGAGCCATCTCTCTAACCCCCATATATATGTTTAAATCAGGCCAGGTAACATAATTTGCTGATTCCTCCCCATGGAAACAGTTCTAAGACTGACTGTGACATGAAAGTGTCTTCAGCTATGTATGGCCAATAAATCTTTGGCTACAAAAGCCCCATGACTTATCTTGCAATTATTTTTAAATGGCATATTTTAAAATTATTTTAGTTTGGTTATACAGTCCAAATTAACTTATACAGAAAAGCAAATGCTTTACCTGCTCAAACAGAAAGCAGAGAATCATCTTCAACTGAACTGTGCTCAGTGCACAGCCCATACACATATTAATACAAAATGTGTAATAGTTTTGACAGTTTATATCTTTTGCATAGCAAGAGGACCAGACACCAAAAAATATAAGTAGCCCAGGTGGTCCTACCTCACAGATGACCTCCAACAACTAGTTCCTTGAAAATCTGTATCCAGGACAACTTCAAAACAACTAGATAGATTGTCCAGCATCACAAACTCTTCTAGTCAGGACTTGAGTTAAGCTCGGAACCTTCTCAGCATTTAGAGGCTGAATAGCAAAAGTTACGGCTAGCTTTCTTACGACTGGACAATATCTCAAAGTTCTTGGGCTGCCAAAAAGAAGAACTACGTCCCAAGTCAGCAGGAAGCAATTTAAGAAAACTACACCCTAAATTTCCAAGAGGCAGCGGATGGGTTTTGGTCATTCTATGGGTAATAGATGTTTGTTACTGTTTGAAAGGAGTAGGTTATAGGAATGATAAGTAAAATGTTACATTATTGAATCTGTGTTTGGACCAAAGAACATTAGTAATCCAAAAATCTTAACACTGGTAGAATCTTTCTACATTGGTACTGATTTGAGATTATATTTGGTTATAACATGCTACGGTATTGTACCTATGCAATTCTTAAAACTGCAGTGCTAACTTCTAGTCCTTTGAAAGCTGCTATTACCAACTGTTTAGGATAATTAGGAAATGCATAGTAATAATCAGACAACCAAACTCATGGTCATGTTAGACTTTAGTTAATTCCAAAATGTTTCCTAGAGTGACAAATTAAAAGGTAGCTAAAAACAATTCAGAATAGCTACACAGTCTTCAAAAATCTCAGAGATCTTCAGCATATGGCATTTAAAGATTTTATTAACCTAAGTCTTTTTTTTTTTTTTTTTTTTTTGACAGTGAGACTGGTCAGCTCCTGGCAGCAACCCCATTCTATTTCAAACAGCCTCAAAGGCTTCTTATGTGGCAAGTTAGCCACTGGTTAGAAAAGGCCCTTGTGTCAATTACAGACAGAATACTGTCCAAAACTGGACAAATGGATGCAAGAGAGTCAACTGCCAAACTTTTCAAGGACAAGATGGATAAGTCCTTTGGAATTCCCGCTTTACAGAAAACTCTGTCAAATATTCTGAACCAGATGGTTGAAGATGATGCTCCAGTGTTACAGAGAAATGTCAGTGGATTGTCCAAGCAGCCAAATATCTCTGTCATTTCTATACTTTTGGAAGCTGCTTACCTGAACTTCCTACATATTTAGGTAATATTTATTCCTTCTTAAGTCTTTGATGGGGTTTAAGTCTAGACAATTACAGTCTCACTGTTATACTTAAATTGTTTGGGAATGATAGAAACTGATAGTACTTTATCCAAGAGTACTGGATGCACAAATGTAAATCTTACCTAATAACTTTCATAATTATTATTACATATTTATTTTAAGAGAAAGAGCTTTTTATTAGACTAAAGGGGGAGATATAAGCATAAGGTTATTGTGATTTTTGTAGCCCCCCCCCATATCTGGTTGCAGTCCTTGTTCTGAGAAAATCGTGTCTCAATGTTATGTAAACACTACTTGCTATTTGTCCCCTGATACGACAACAAAGCAGTTTACAGCCAATCTCTGAGCAGGGGAAAGAATAGGGCTTGACTTCCTGCCAGCCAGGAAAATTGGGGTTAGAAGAAGATGTAAGGGATTGAGCCAAGAGAGAGGTCCAAGAGTCATCAGGAGAAGGAGCTGGATCAGGAAAGCTACAAAGTGTCTCTGGGATATACACTGGGAGGAAACCAGATTAGTTTAGGGGGTTAAAAAATAGAATAAATAATAGATAAATAATAAATAATAGAATAAATAATAATTGCTCAGTTATTGTGCTGTGAAGCTTATTATTAAACAAATATAAAAGAGTCAACTATTTCTTTGATATCCATGTAAGAGAGAAACTGAGAAACAAACACGGTTTTATAAAAATAACTTTAACATCGAAGAGTAAATTAGTAACTGCCCATTCTAAACTGTTGTATATCCTATGGCACTGAAACAAAACATGTTGAACAAAATATGCACTCTACCTTGGATGGGGCATTTTCTCGGCATACAATAGCATGGCCTTCTGTCCTCAAGACGTGATGAAAATAGACATCTTCATTTGAGGATGTATCACAAAGAAAAATATTAAGGATTCCATCTATATACTCATCCACCACCCCCACTAATGGCTTCAAACCACACAGCTTCTGGAAGTGCAAAATAGCTCTGGATGTCCAGTGTTCCTAAAATACAACAGAGATATACTTATGTAATAAGTATATATTATGAGTTATAGTAATCATATACAAAGTGATTTGCTACTGAACTAGAGTTTTAAGTGAAAAAACCAAAATCCTAAAAACATGTAAAATATATATAATTTTAGGGTATGAGAAACTAAAAAGAAAAAATTATGAAATAAACATGACTGAAACAATTATCATATGAAAAACTCATTTTCAGAAATATTATTTTATTTATAATGAATAAAACACCATCCATCAAAGAAATGCAAATGAAAATTACATGGAGATTCTACCTTCCCTCAGTCAACACGGCTATCACCAGAAAAACCACAACAAGTGCTGGAGAAGACACAGGACAAAGAAGCCCTTGTAACTGCTGCTGGGAGTGCGGATTTGTCTAGTTAACCCCATGGAGTAACTGGCCTAATCCAGTGCGGATTCCTCAAAAGGTAAAAATGGTAATTCTACATGACCCAACTACACTGCATCTAGGTATCCACGCAGAATCAAAGTCCAGTTCCTCCAGGGACAGGTGTGCACATGGTCACCACAGCTTGTTACAGCAGTGAGGTTATGAGGCCGTGTGCCTACTGAAGGGATAACACAAATGTGTTGTACAAGCACAGCAGTTTTAGTCAGCACCTAGAAAAATTAAATTATGTAGTTTGCAGGAAAATAGATGGACGCAAAAACCATCCCGTTAAGTAAATTAGAACAATCTCACAAAGACAAGTGTTCCATGTTTTTCTCTAAAGTGTAGAATCCAGGGTGGGCATAAGAATAAAAGGGGTAATATTAGAGACCCAGAAGGTGAAAGAGGAATATAAATACACATATAAATACAATAAAGTCTCATAATAAAAACAAAGTAGTGGGGCAGATATGGTTTAAAAGCATATGTATGCATGAGAATGTCATAAATGAAACTATTTTATATACTATATGCTAATTTAAAAAGAAAATAAAAAGCTTTAAAAAAATTAAGTAATTACCTACTAAGCAACTCTCATTTTAAAAAGAAAGAAAAAAAATTCAGTTAAAGCCACACATACACACTTTTAATCCTGGCCCTCGGGAGGCAAAGGCAGGTGGATCCCTGAGTTTGAGGCTAGCCTGGTCTTCACAGTGAGTTCCAGGACAGCCAGGGCTACACAAAGAAACCTTATCTTGAAAACAAAAACAAAACAAAACAAAAAGTCAGTTAAAGATTATTAGGCTAACCTCAGTGGAAAGTAATTTAAATTCTAAGTAAAATATTATTTTAATGTATTGCAAAAGGTCAATGAACATATAAGCTGGTAAACAAATTGTCATGCCAAAATGGAAGGGAAAGTAGGATCTGCTTTGGCCTTCAGAGTTCCTGCTGATCAGGGAAGATATGAACTACAGTTCTGATGGTCCTAACAGGGGACAGACATCAAAGCCAGGCTCTGCAACGGCTGGGAGCCTAGGGAACTCCTTCAGTAAGCTGACTTCTGTGAGATACACTCCCAAGAAAAAAAAGAGGCAAATGTACTAAACTTCACATGAAATCGTAGCTCCATTTTCACACCAGCAGACTAGTGTGCCGGTCTTTGAGTTGTTAATTTGCAGCAGCACACTACAGACTAGCAGGAGCATATGCGCTTGGCACAAGCAAGTGCAAAACCTCCTAGAAAAAGGTGTCACCTAACCACCCTGACACAAATTTTCAAGATACAGCAGTACAAAGGTAAAGATACAGACAGGTGGGCAGGACATCTGAGGTCGCCCCACAGGAGAAAACACCTGCCCTCAGGCCCGACAAATCACTTGGACCTCCAAGACCAAATGATGGAAGGAGAGGCCCCAATCTTACAAGTTGCCATCCAACACCCATGCACGCATGTGTACACATGCACACACGCACGTACACACTCAGACACACGTGTGCACACACTCACAATTAAATGAAAATGCAAACATGTATCTAAAATAATACCCGAAGAAACAATGAACTATTTTGAGAACAAGTGGAAACCACATGAAAGAAACTCCCCCCAAAATTCACAACATTTTAATTTCTAAACCAATTATAAAACTAACCTTACACCTAGAGCAGTATTAACAACAACATCAAAAACTACCCAGCTCAGTTTGAAACTCTTCTAGAGATGCGCGACCTACAAAAGTTGGTACAGGTTGGCCGGCAAGATGTCTCAGTGGTAGAGGCACTGTGCATTGGCCTGACCACCCCAATCCAACCCTGGGTCACACAAGGTGGCTGTGAGCTGGCCTACTCTTACCCCTGCTTCTGTGTGTGCACACGCACATACACACACATTAAAAAAAAATGATACAACTGAACTAAATTTCAGAAAGTAAAAATACAATTAACAACAGCTAAAACCTTCATAGAATTCAGTGGTAGATTAGATGGGATTACAGTGGAAGATAACTTAGAAAAAAATGCCTACTATGTAAAGACATGGACATACAGAAGACATCTAAAAGATTTAGAAGAAAAACTTACCTTCAACACTTTTAATTTTTGTTCCAGAAAAAGAGGGACAGAAACAAAGGAAATAAAATATGAATATGGGGCATAGGCAATAATCAAAGAATAACAGCTTCAAATTCACAAGGTTTAACCGAAACGAGTAACCCACAGATTTTTAAATGTCCAGTGAGCAAAGTTGGTTAAATAAAAAATTCACATGCACAAGTAAGCATAAGCGTATCACATCACACCCAAACACATACTGCTACTGTAAGGGACAAATGGAAAATCTTTAAAACCGCTAAAGACAAAGAGGACAAAGCAATGGCCAAGGAGTTTCAAAGGAAAAGCCACCAGACTGACGAGGGCCTTCTCCAAAAAGGAGGAGACCTGGTCTAGCGATAACCTCGGTGCGCCAGGGAGACAGCACCAACCTGGAGCCCACACCTGGTGAACACACGGGTAAGTGCCACAGGTGGGGCTGTAACTCAGCAGCAGCCTGTGCTCGGCACGCGTGAGGGCCTGCATTCTTGGTGTGTGAGCAAAAAGTAGCACAAAGTAATGATGGGTTCTGGACACTTCACTGCCTTTACCACCTTAGGACCTCAGGAGATAAAGTGCTAACTAACACAGCTCAAGTACAGGAAAGCTGTTCCCAGGCAGAGTGGGGATGGATGAGCCATGAAGAAATACCTAATTAGATGCAAACAGACATTATTATAATTTTTTTTTCTGAGACAGGGTTTCTCTGTGTAGTCCTGGCTGTCCTGGACTCACTCTGTAAACTGGGCTGGCCTTGAACTCACAGAGATCCACCTGCCTCACCTTCCATGTGCTGGGATTAAAGACATGGGCTCCACTATTATAATTTTTATAACCAATTTTTTAATTTTTTAAATAACAATTTTTCTGAAGATGATGATAATTCTAAGAAAACAAAGTAAACATCTTCTAAAATTTTAGTGTTTAATTTTCTTTCATTCCTTCAAGGAAACTTTATTTTAACTGCCTATTATATATTAGATCATATACAGAGAGAAACTAGGTATTCCTTGAATATCCACTTTACCACTGTGTTAATTTTCATTATACTACATAGCATAAAAATGTATTTTTGTGTAAGAGATCATTTTGGAACAACACATGATTTATCATGCCACACACATTAAACTACTTGAAAACTACAAGCTTCATATTTTAAGGTACTATGTAAAAAAAATTACACAAAATAAATATTTTGACAAAAATATACTATGTTAGATATTGTAAAATAACTATATTTGTAAAATTGTTAATACAATCTTGATATGTGAGGGCATGTTAAGATTTACAGATACTATGGTGTCACATTTTTTATGCTGTGCTCGATTAAAGAAGATTATTTAAGGTAAGATAAGAGAATTGAGTATCTTACTAGTTTAGGTCTGATACTTCAATATGTACATTCTAATAAAATTGGATAATCTAATAAAACGACAGAAATTGTATCGCTTAAACACGAACATTAGTTTTTCATGAATCTACATTCTTAAAATTCTAAACTCAAGGTTTGAAAAGTTTCATTTCCTAGTGAGATCATAGTTCCTGGCTAGTAAGCCTCCCTCTCACACATGGAGTGAAAGAAAGAAGAGAGAGAGAGATGGGGGGGAGAGGGAAAGAGGGACAGAAGAGAAAAGAGGGAGAGATGGAGAAGAGGGAGGGAGGGAGAGAAGGAAAGAAGGAGAGAGGAGGTAGAGAAGGAAGAGAGAGGAAGAGGACATGTGAATGGTGTGAGCTCTGTCTCTATTAGTTAAAGGAAGCAGGATCAGGTAGATAAGAGGTGAAAGAACAGAATAATTGAGGGCCCCATCCAATTGATGCTCATTTTTATTTACTTCTTTATTATTTATTTTTATTTCAAGAATATAGTAATTCTAAGATGAAAGGGTTTGTATATATTTTAACATAATGAACACATTAATGCCCAATGCTTTGCCAGGATGCTTATACACACGCACACACACACATACACACACACACGTGCACACACACAACTGAACCCCTAAGTCATGAACTATGAGGTAACCTAAGACAGCTCGTGAGAAAAAAGATGAATTAATTTCTGGCTTTGTCCAAAAAAAGTTCTAACAGCTTATCTTAGTGATCATTAGTTTTGTAACCAATAATTTTAGCTTAGTAATAAGGCTTATAACTATTATCAAAACATAATATCACATAATAGATTATCTATGCTAAGAAACAAATTGAGGGCTGGACAGATGGCTCAGTGGTTAAGAGCATGGGCTGCTCCTGCAGAGGACCCTCGTTCATTTCCCAGCACCCAGGAGGAGGTTAAAATCAGCTGTAAGGTCAGTTCTGTGGTTCTGATGCCCTCTTCTGCTGTCTGTGTGAACTATATGGAATTGTTACCCATTCACATGCTCAGGCGAAACACCCACAAGCATAAAGTTAAAAAAAGACAGACTGCAAGTCAGAGCATCTATGCTATGTTAAAATAGCAATGGTAACAGACCACCAAGGCTGTTTCATCAGTCAGGAAGGTGAATTCCAAGAGGAAGCACTCCTCACGATTATGTTTAAGAAGTTTGCTCTAATTAAGGTGCAGTACATTAGAAAAGTAATGTAACTTTTACTAACTTATTAACATTATTTCCACTTTGAATTTCTTCTAGTAGCACCCTTTAGAATCACTGTTATCTTTTATCACAGATGCTTCACTTTTCTTGTAAGATCCAACATGAGAAGCTAAACTCTCATGTCTAAATTATAAGGCCAATTATCATGTTAGTCTGTGCCAATAGATGATTAGTAACTAACTAGACAAGAGAAAGCAGCTTGAATTATCATTTATTTCCATTGTGTTCAGTTCTACCACCATAAAGATATCTACACTGTAAAGATATCTACAGGCTTGTCACATATAGCTTTTTGTAGGGTGAGAAAGTCCCTCTGCTCTTACTCCAGGGTGTTTTTCATGAAGACATGTTGGATTTTATCAAAGGCCTTGTCTGTATCTATTGAGATGCTCACATGGTTTTTGTCTTTAAGTTCATCTATAGGGTTGATTATATTTATGCTGACACATCCCTTCATCTCCAGGATAAAGCCAGCTAGGGCCAACATCATCCTAAATGAAGAAACACTCAAAGCAATACTATTAATACCAGTAAAGAGACAGGCCTGTCCACTACCTCCATTCCTTTTCAACACAATGGTTAATGTCTAAGCTAGAGAAGTAGGGAAGGAAATTAAAGGAACAGAAACAGTCAAAGAAGTCAAATTTAAAGATTTATGACTTTTTTACATAAAGGATTCAAAATTCCACTAGAAAACGTCTAGAACTGATCACCATTAATAAAGTGGAATAAAACAAAATTAATTATAAAATTCAGTAGCAATTCTTATAATAACAGACGAGCTAAGATAGAGCTCTTGGAGACACTTCTACTCAATGTAGCATCAAAAAATAAAATATGTAGGAAAAAAAATAGAAGCAGGAATGTGAAAAATTTAAACTTCTGAAGAAAGAAACGAGGAAGTCACAGACCATGGAGAGATCTTCCTATTATTCTAAAGAATATAGCACATATTCTGAATATGGCCATCTTGACAAAAGCAGGGTACAGATTCAGTTTAATCCCAATAAAATCCGATAATATTCTTCACAGAAACAAACAAACAAAAAAATCCTAAAATTCATTTGAAAGGAAGCACACAGGGGCCTCTTGGCCCAAGCAATCCTGAGCACAGAGAGCAATGCTGAAAAGGTTAGCATACCAGACTTCCACAGAACTGTAGCAGTAGAGCCAGCACACGGGCACAAGGCAGGTGTATAGATATGGAGACCCATCAGAGACCAAGGCCAAAACTGAGTGTATGTGACTACTCCCAGCACAGCCCTGTTTTACACAGCGCCCACTCCTACAGCACTCCCTAAGATTACAATGGACCTCAGAAACTGCTATCGCTTAGCAACACTGAAAGGTGCTGCCGCACAACACGCTGCTCACGTCTGTGTTGGCTCTGGTATAAACAAACGTGTTGCAAGTCATTTGAAAGTACACCAGGTGTGATTATGCACAGTATTTGATAGTGGCTGACTGATACTGGTTTACAGATTATCTACCCCAGTTTATCAACCACATTCTGGGCCAACAAGAGCTACTTAAAAGGTCTCAGTGTTTGTACTACTCTCCCTTTGCCTGCAATGTCTTCTCTTTTTTGCCTTTGGGTGAGGCCTTTCTTGATCTGTCTGAACAAAAATAGGCACACCTCCCTCAGCTGCTCCCGTATACCATAGCAAACGACAGCAAATCTGACACGCAGATGCTGCCCAGAAGTCTATCTCTCGTATGACACACAGTCATCTCTCTCATGTTATCTCTGTGTCCTGAGAACTCAGAACCATTACTGGCACAAAGTAAGCACCCAAATCTTTGCTGATCAATGAGAAACAAGCAAACATACCTCTGCTGGCCTCACCCACGCCAAAGAGCAAGGTATAGCCTGAGCTGGGAGCTTCGTGTAGCAGCATCTGCAGAAAGCCAAACGTGACTATTCAATTATGCATGTGCACTGCATTTGTTGAGTCTCTGATCCATTCCTTGTTCTGTTATTCAGACCATTTCAATTCCTTTACGACACTTTAGGCTAATGACTTGTACTTTGAAAGTAATTTAAGAAATAAATTATAAAACGTAGTAAGTTTTTGAAGAGCACCATATATATAAAAGCACCAATAGGAACTGTTCAGCTCCCTGGCCTATCAGTATGCCTCTTAGCATGACCCTGAGTGGTTTTCTTAATAAATTTATTCTCATGGTCCATGAAAATTAATAATCAAGAGAAAGAAGACAAGAGAGGCTGTAGTCCATCCACCAAAGTAAGTGATGAGGGGCTGGAAGAGACCAGGATTGTGCTTTTGCAGGGACCGAGTTCAGTTCCCAGCTCCCATATTACACAGCTCACAACTACCAAGAAATCCTACAGCTTTAGCCCCTCTGAGTACCTGATCACACATGTACATACAGTTAGTAAAGATACATATTTTTAAAAGATATTAAATGATCACCTGCCAAATATACTCTATGATAAAGGATGTAAAGAAGGATGCATGGAACATGGCAAGAGACAAAAGATCCCAGTCCTAAAGTTCCATGATTCAAAATTTCATTTTTTCTAGCATTCTTGCTAAATTAAACTCACTTGAGGAACCTCAGCGAGGACTTCTGGACCGTTCCTATGTTTCCAAAGTCTGGGTAGAACACTTCAACCTCCTTTTTCCCGAGGATCCGGTGGATAATAACCCGGTACCACCACTTGTCCTCAGAAATCCTTACACAGCAGAGATGTCCTGGTTGGATAAAATATTCTGGCATGATGTACCGATCAGAAACCAGCTGGTTAGAGTAACAGCGCCTGTAGAATTCCGCAATACAGAAAAACCCGAAGAGTAAGAGAAAAAAAAAGGATCATTTTTATTGATGATATATCAATAGCAATAAAGTCTTTGCAAAAAGTAAAAACTCTAATATTCTCTGATTTGTCAATGCCTATTAATGCCCCTTTATACAAATCCTTTCTTTTCATCAAGAAACTCCTTCCAAGTGTGAAAATTACACACTTGTTATCTCACAAGACATTGTCCGCTTTATTCTCTGAATAGAACATAATCTAACTTCATTCCACAGTACTTCCTAAAATGGATAATTTCCTGCATTTATCGCTCACGGAAGACCTTGGAAGAGGGGGACACAAAGAGCCAGAACACCAGGAAATCTGCTGTGAATCAGTCTTACCTAAAAATGGCCAAACAAACAAGACCAGAACAATGGCAGCATCAAGGGACATATTAATGTGGAAAGGGAAAAGCTCATAGGGGCTCACCCCTGAGCGAAGAGCTGCAGGCAACCAACAACAACCAGGAGGAGGGGAACTGGCCTCTCCCAGTAATGAGCCCCAGTATTGGTTGTCCAGTGCAGAGTCAGCTCTGAAACAATGCAAACAACCAAACTGTTTGTACATATTTGTGATACATAGGCAAGCAACAATAATAAGCAAAGGAAAAGAGGCTATCAGCTTGAAAGGGGGCCGTGGATGGGTGGGAGGGGCTTCAGGGAGGAGCTGGTGGGAGGAAAGGGAGGAGGGAAAATGATGCAATCCTAGTTCAATTAAAACCATCCTTTAAAAAAGCATCAACGGCTTGCTAATTCCCGAATGTCGGAGTCTCTCTCCAGCCTATCTCCTTTCACGCTCTTGGATACTCCATCCCCACAATTCTCTCTTAGTCCTGTCTTTAGGTAGGCTCCACCTTAAAAAAAAAATGGGTTCTTTGTTAAACTAGAAACCCAAGTTCAACTCCTGACTCCCTTGTTTAAAAGACTGGTGGCGGTACCTTTCTGAGTTTCAGTTTTTGATGAAGATGGAGACAACAGCAAAATCTTAGTTAAAATAGGTGGAAGGTATGAGGGCAGAGGCTTCAGAAGCACGCAAGTCGTGCCATTCTTTCGCATAACATCTCACTGCACTATGGGTGGCCTCTCCCTAGAAGACCCTGCGTGCTAAACTTCAAAGCTTGTTTTTTCAATTGTCTGGAAGCCATGCTGTAAATGTCCTCTCTTCTACTCATTCTCTTCCCCTATCCCATATTTTAATAAATACCTAATTTTAACTAGCCATATGGACTTTATAAGATCTAGGTGTGGCTCTTTAAATAAAAAGTTCTAGCTAATAGGATCTAAGAAGAAGCACACAAAGTTGAAATTACTGTATAGTTTATCACATTTTTTAAAAATTAAAATGTGAAAACTTCAAGTTGTGTCTTCCAAAGCAATGATATAGCCCGTACCCTCTACATTTCTCCTCTCCTTCCCACTAGCTATTAGGGGGACCTAGCAGATGATGGCAAGCTACATCCAAAGTGGGCATTATCTGGAACAAAAGACAGAAAACATCAATGTCTTTAACACCACGGAGCATCCACTTTTGCATGCATGTTTCTGTTGGTACTATTTCAGGAAGAGACCATGGCTACACATAATTTTAAGACTGCCAAGACTGCACTGCCACTATCTGATGCTCACTTCAGATGCAGTTTCTCATACCTATCCATCTCTAAGCCAACAGTCTTCACTGTGAAATATTTCCTATCCTCTCCCCAATTCTTTCTATTCCCTTTCTTATCAACTCAAAGTTTTACCTTCCTAATTTAATTTCTCTCTGGTTTGTTCCTTTCTGCAGTCTCTCACAGGCTTGCCTATTTATCGACCTTCTTTTCTTCACCTCATTCATCTGCTATACTATGAATGGAGTTATCGTTATAAATCTGTTGTCTAATCAGTTTTTTTCCACTGTGACAAAAATACCCAGAACAAACAACTAAAGACAGTTTTGGGGACTTCAGGTCATGGTTGCTTGGCTATGTTTTCACCACGGCGAAGCAGAACCTGAGAGGAAGCACATGGTCAGCCAGAGCTTTTATTACCTCATGGCAGCCAGTCGGTGAAGAGCGGGTGAGGTCACGTTCCCAGTGACCTAGCTCCTCTCGTTAACCCCCACCTCGACTATAAACCACCTCCCATTAATGTCTCTAAATTATGGAGCCACCAATGGATTGATCCATTGATCAGGTCAGACCCCTCATGATCCAGTCACTTAGCTAAACACTGAACAGTGCACTGAGGACCACGCCTTTAACACATGAGCCTTTGGGGACATTTCATATCCAAACTATAAGAAGGTCCTCCCCCAACCTTTAAGAAAAGAGGCTTCGGTGATTTTTGTCTGAAGCAATGCCTTCCAGTGGTGCTCACAACTTGGCCCTTACTTACATCTGTCTTCCAGTGTCAAATCCAGTCCTCCCAATATCGCTAGCGCTAACTCTACTTTATTTGTTCCCAAAGCACACCATTCAGTACTTCATTAATGTTGACCCTAGTGCCAGAATACACCTATTATTGTGTCAACTGGCCAAACCTTGCATTTGAGGCCTTGCTCAAATATCAGCTATGAAGCTTTCCCAACCACAAGTGCTGCTTCCCACTCTACCCCATTTATCCCCTGGTTATCTCCCCAGCGTTAGTTAGACAAAGACTATACCTTACACACGTCTCTTTGCAGTACCAGGGCCTCAGCAACCAGACGCCGAACAGTTACAGTTTAATAGCAACACCCAGGCTGGGGGCCAGATGGACGGTAAAGTGCTTATTTGGACAGCAGCAAGCACTTCTACTGATATCATGGAGACCTGTGAGTCTGTGGGGCTTGCTGGCAGCTGGCCCGGCCTACCAAACGCCAGTCTCACGGAGCCTGTCTCAAAGAACTCATCTTACAGCTTCCAATTTCACAGATACTCATGGACAGCGCCTAAGAAATGGCACCCAAGGTTGTCCTCTAGCCTCCGTATGGACACATGTATATACTTACACACATGAATATACATACACACACAAACAGCAGCCAACCCTGAACCAGATTTCTAAATGCTTCGGTTTCCACAGCTTTGCAGTAGGCACGAGATTATCCCAATCTGGAGATACGATTAGACCACAAGAAGTTGAACTGATGTCCAGATCTCAGAGATTCTAAGACTACTTTAAAACACGCACTAAGTCTCACAGACAGCAGAATAGAATATATGGTGACTTTTCTAGTGTGTGTGTGTGTGCGCACATGCTATGCATAGATGCATATGTAAATGCAATGCGGAGGCCGGAGGAGGTCAGGGATACTGTCCACCTCCCCTGAGGCAAGTTCCTAACTAGCCTAGAGCTTACCAATTATGCTAGCCCAGCTGGACAGTGTGCCCCACTCCGGGACCCTCCTGTCTCTGCTCCCCAGTGCTAGGACCGTGGATGGCGGCCACGCCACCATGCTTGCCATTTCACATATGTTCTGCAGATAAAACGTGGGTTTCTGTGTTCACTAAGTAAGCACTTTACTGATCTAGCATTCAAACCACAATAATATTTCTAAGAGATTACTACTCCATTTAATAGTATGCCAGGTAACTTGAGGTGTCATATAAATATATAATATGGTAAAATAAGAAAAACATGGCATGCTTTTGTAAATAAAAACTATTACTTTATGTACCACAACATAATTACATATTCTTGTTTATGAATTAATTTATAGTGACTAAATATTTTTCACATGTGTTTATTAACAAAGGACAGGATTTTTTAGTAGACCAAAAAAAAAAAAAAGAAAAAAAAAAAAAAACAAAGAATAGTCCATAAACAAACCCTCAGAGCCCTGATATCCTTCTAGTAAGTCCACACAAGTCAAGCTATTTTCATAATATAACTAAAATATTGCCCTTTGATGTTTGCATTGGTGCTGTAAAAGCAACAATAGGTAAAATACCAGGTGCCTTCGCTAAATTAAGGCAATGTCAAAACATTTCAGTTAAAAAGAACAAACAGAAACAAAACAAAACAACAACAAAAACCAACCAGTATCACTTAAGAATGTCCTTGAGACCTGGAGGGGACAGAAACTCCACAAGGAGAGCAACAAAGCTAAATCTGAGCCCAGGATGTCCTGCAGAGACTGATGCACCAACCACAGACTGTGCATGGAGAGGACTTAGACTCCCTGCTCAGATGTAGTCCATGGCAGCTGAGTCTCCATGTGGGTTCCCTAGTAAGGGGAGCAGGGGCTTTCTCTGACATGGACTCTGCTGCCTACTCTTGGATCACATCCCCCTTGTCATGTGGCCTTGTCAGACCACAGAGGAAGAGGATCCAGGTAGTCCTGATGAGACTTGATAAGCTAGGGTCATATGGCAGGGGAGGAGAATTCTCCCTTTCAGTGGACTAAGGGAAGAGGACAGGGGGTAAGAGAAAGGGAGGGAGGGAGGGGAAAAAGGTGAGGGAGGGGGCTACAATCAGGATATAAAATGAAAATTGTAAAAAATAAAACAATAAAAAATAAAATAAAAAGAATGTCCTTGATGTCAAAGCCAGGCGTCCCAGTAATCAGGAGGCAGAGGCAGGCAGATCTCCAAGTTTGAGGCCAGCCTGGTCAACAGAGAGTCCCAGGACAGCCAGAGCTGTGGACAGCCAGTGGAGGAGGGGGGGGGGTCCTTGATAAGGCAATGCAATTAGGTTGTCTATGACAAAAAACTGAAGTGCATATAAAGTATTTCCTCAGTGTCTCAAGGAAAAGTACTTTGTATTTGAATTATGATCTAAACTAGCCTTTGATAGGGACCCAATTTTCACTTAGAATGATTGCTCAGTGGTTAAGAGCATATACTGCTCTTCCAGAGAATCCAAGTTCTAGTCCCAGCACCCACATCGGGAAGCTCACCACCCACCTGTGCCTAGAGCTCTGGATTATCTGCTTATCTTCCGACTTTCCACAGGCACCTGTGTTCACATGCACATACCTCCACACAGACACATAACAGAGTAAAAGAAAGAAAGAAAACGATAACCACACCAAGCACAGCAGCACAATCCCAGCACTTGGGAGATGAATGGCAAAAGGATCTCTGTGAGCTTGAGGTCATCCTGGTATAATAGTGAGACCATGTCGCAAATAACCAAAGCAAACCAAACCAAAACCCAAGTTAAAAAAAAAAAAAGCAATGACTAATTGATTTTAAATGTAACACCATTTGCACTTAAAAAACTACTCATGTATCTTATGAAAGAAGGGAGAGATAGAAAGACCTGGAGGGATAGGAGCTCTACAAGGACAGAAAAAAAATGTGGACACAAGGTTCTTTTCTGAGACTGATACTCCAACCAAGGACCATTCATGGAGATAACCTAGAACCCCTGCAGAGATGTAGCCCATGGCAGCTCACTGTCCAAGTGGGTTCCACAGTAAGGGGAACAGGGGCTGTCTCTGACATGAACTCAGTGGCTGGCTCTTTGATCATGAGCCTTGCCAGTCCACAGAGGAAGACAATGCATCCAGTCCTGATGAGACCTGATAGGCTGGGATCAGATGGAAGGAGGAGGAGGATCTCCCCTATCAGTGGACTTGGGGAGGGGCATGGGAGGAGAAGAAAAAGGGAGGGTGGGATTGGGAGGGGATGAGGGAGGGGGCTACAGTTGGGATACAACATGAATAAACTGTAATTAATAAAAACAAATAAATAAAAATAAAAACTACTCATGCGATGGCAAAGATTATGTTTTAAAGTTTAATCTAGCCCCTAAGTTCCACTTGCCCAAGGACAGATAACTTCCGGGAATGCTAGGGCTGTTCTTGTAATTGCCTGATCTAAAGATTAAAAACCGTGTGTTTTCACTTCTGTAAGCAAGCTTGCTTGCTGCCTCCCCCTGCACCCCCTGCTGCACGCCGGAAGGATGTGTGTATGACTGCACATAGGCTGAGTATGTGCCTGGTTACAGGTAGGCAGAAGTACATCAGTATGTGTTCTTTCCCATGACTGCATGAAGGCAGGAAGTAGGCAGCCTCCTGTGTTTTGCCTTTACGTTGCAATAGCCCCTGACGAATGTAATTCGGAAATGCCTCTTGAAAGTGCTCTCTGGTTCAGTCCTGGTGCTGTAAGTTTCTGGTGCTGGTATCTGAACAAAGCCCCTTCTTTGTCAAAATGTCTTCACCAGCAGACTGGTGAATCTCCGAATGACCCCAGACCTATAATACTAACACTACAGTTCAGAGTATTTGAAATACACCTTCCCAAAACTTCACTTCAAGTACAACAACTAAGACTGTATATTCTCAATGATAAAACTCTCACCTTCAAGTAGGACTCAGGATCTTATGAAAGTGTGACATTCAACAAACTGAAAGTCAACGCTGTTTTGACTGCATCGGCAGTAATGAAGAGCAGCTGTTTCACAGAGATTAAGTTCATTTCGACACCCACAAATCCCTCACCGACAGGCAGCTCTCAGGTTAATGCCATTTCACACAGTCAACTTGGGGTTTTGTTTTTTTCTCTCCCAATGTGGTGAAATGAAACATATCTACATTTGGGTGAGCTGTATAATTCAGTAAGGCAGTATTTTATTTTATTTCATGATCAAAACATGACATTATAAAGCCACACATAGGTACAATTCAATCAGGCTGTTTTCATGTTCAGAGGAGCCCCGTGCTTGCCTACATGATCTGCAATTACTTATCCTGAAATTCATAATGAAACAAACCACCCTGGGTTTTAATTGGTACTGGGGCCTGCAATTATATGGTTTGTCCTGGGTCTTTTCAAACAGCTAACACAGACCAATCAATTTTAAAATAACAGCACATAATTCAGATTCTAAGTTGCAACTAATTTTATAAAGTATTTGTCAATTTTTGACATTATCAAAAAGCAATTTTCCAAAAAGGCTATTAAAACATTCTCTTTTTAGTTATGTATTTATAAGGCAGGCAAGTATCTCTATTATTCATTTTTTCAGTTGCCATGGTTTCAGTTACCTAAGATTAACCACAGTACTAAACTATTAAATGGAAAATTCAAGAAATAAATAATTCATAAATTCAAACTTGCATGCTGTACGAAGTAGCCCTATGAGTTCTTCACCATCCTACCCTCCACAGCCCAGGGTGCGACTCACTCCTTGGTGAGTGCCTTCAAGCTACATGAATTTCCTATCATGTCAGTTATCAGCCCAACTTCTACCACAGCATTTGGCCATAACTGTTCTATCTTACTGTTTGTTTTATGGCTCTCTAACTGTATCTAATTTATGAATTAATTTTAATATATAGAAGTATATATACAAAAAAAACAGTATACACACACAGAAACAGTCTGGTACAATCCATAGTTCTGGCACCCACGGAGGAATTTGGAATACACTTTGTATATGGCTATGAAGTGCTATTGTACATGCTTGGATTAGAAAGAGTTACTTTTCATAAAAATGTTATTATGTCACCATGCCACATGTGGATTTTTTTTACAACAGATACTTAAACATTTTGAACTTTAAGCTTCTATCTGATAAGCATCAGCAAGCAAAAGCTTTTCATTACTTTAGGAATCCTGAGACCAAAATGCCTGGCAATTAATGAGTAATGATAAATGGGAACACAATGAAAGCATGAGGCTCCTACCGCATTTCAATCATCATGTCTTCAAGTAATTCTGAGGAGTCTCTGCTGTAGATTCGGATGTAGAACTGACTGGGAGAGATTATATATTCCACGAAGACTCCCACAAGGGTGCTGGTATCTAATGGTGGGAGTCTGCATAATTTCTTTGCACGTACAGCATCTGGCGGGATGTCGTGAATTGCCACCGACAAGCTGAGCTGGGGTTTGTTTGTTTCCACTTGCTACAGGGAATGCAGGGAGAGAAAGAAATCATATAAAACTTTGAGAGACATGTCAAATCTTGTGACTCTATCTCTCAAACTGTATTTCATGAATCATCTTCACTACAGTCACCTGGGAAATTACAGAAGATTCTTGGGCTGAAGCATGGATTATGACTCAGTTGTGTTAGAATGGAGCTCCATGTACAGGCACCATTTAAGAATAGTCTTCAAGTGCTACACTATCAAAACATTGGGCCAATGTCCTCAACAAAATGGGCAACACAACATTTCAAATATTCAAGTAGGAGTAAGGTAGGTTCTCCTTCTACCTAACCCTACCAGCAGTAAAAGGTAACTTTAAATGGATTAAATTCAGACTATTTTCCCATCAAAAGCTTTTGCAAGCACTTTTACCCAACATGTGCTGTTTCCTCTAGGCCTTTCTGTTGCCCTGAAGAAAATACAACATGCTGGCTCTCAAACTGCTCACTCCACTGAAGAGCCAGCTACTGTGAGGAACAAAAACTAATTCCTTATTAACAACAAAGTCAGAAACAGGAAATTCAAACACAAAAATGTGTGAGGAGGATGTACTAAAAAATAAAGACTAAATGAAGCAGGTAAGTAAGTGAGAATGGCTACAAAGCATTTGCGACCGCTGTGGAGGCCAGACCAGAGCAGGGCTCCTGCATCGTCTGAAGCCCCGAGGCTTTCAAGGCTCCACCTGAGTCTGGGGAATATGGAAATCAACATTGCCATCGGGAGAGAAACTCAATTTTAACCTTCTGAAAAGCTTTACAATCAGGCTGTGGGAAATGAAAAATTGAAAACGAGAGGAAATGCCACATACAGTGGTACTGGACCAAAGAATCGGTCTCTTCCAAGGAATGATGTTCTTAGAAATATATATATATATATATATATATATATATATATATATATATATATATTTTTTTTTTTTTTTTTTTTTTTTTTTTTTTTTTTTTTTCTAAAGAGCATTTTGGTTTAAAGAAGCATTCATTTGGCCACTGTGCCTGGTAGACAATGAAGCATGCTACTCACTCACCAGCTGTAAAGGCTTCACCACCAGATTAGGCTTCTTGTAAATCTTCTGTTCTGGTTCCTTGTGGTTCTTCAAAGGGCAATCCCACGTAGTCTTCTTAACTCCTACAGTAGACAGCGCATTTCTAGCGGGACTGGAGATCCACGCATTGGCTTCCGTTTTCTTGTCTAGTTGAACTAAACACGAATTTCTGACTGATGAAAGCATTCCACCTGAAACAGCCAGGATAGGAAACAGCAGATTCATTACACTACGGAGCCACTGCCTCTAGGCAGCCCCCACGTGCCAGGGACCAGGAAGGCCCCAGCAATGCGAGTTTGTCCTTGCAGATCTCGCAGATGGGAAGATACAGATATTCTAGAGGAGAAACAAACTAAATTCTCATCGGGAGAACAGGAGCTGGCACACCTTCTTTAACTCTGGTGAGCGACTTTCTCAACATCCTGATTTCCGGTTTCTCCTTCTAACCGTACAATAATGAACAGTTATTTAATGTGCAATGTACATAATTTTTAGATTCCATAATCTGTGCCTTAGCTCTTAGAAAATTTATCAACCATGTATTTTATTGAAGTTTATGCACGTATGTTGAGTACCTGAGGCTTGCACATCACAGGACTCCTCGTATCTATTACTACACTGGCTCCTAAAGAAACAAACACCAAAGAACATTAAGATGCTGCCACAAAAAACTAATCCTATTTGCCTAGAATGAATGAAGGCCTGAGTTTCATCCCCTGAACAGCAAAATAAATAATAAAAAGTTAAAAATACTAATCACCATGCATTTATAATAGTAAAAATGGAAACAATCTAAATGTCTACCAAGAGGACACTGGTTAAATAAAATATATAAGAATTGTAAAAAGGTAAAAATGAAAAAACTATCAATATGGAAAACAATTTATTTAACATAAAAAGCAAAGATATAATATGTGATAGTGCTTTACATAAAACTGTCATAATTAAGTATATAATTTATAAAGGGTTGAGAAATACACTTATTAAAGCTATAAGCATTAACTATCTGTATTGTTTGAATGGCTTAAAGAGCTTTTGTGGTTACAAAAAATTTTATGAATTCAGATCAGCTCTAACTCCTATATTTTATATTATATAATTTTCTAACTCCTATATTCACAGTATGTAGTCTCTTCAGCAACAGGGACTTCTCTTCAAGCTCTGTAAGGCAACCAAAGGCAACAGCCTGTACTGTTTTGGGTCATCTCTTTGGCTCCCCTGACCAACAACTTGAAACAGGATTCTTGTGTCCCGCTATTGGGTTTTAAGCTGCCACGGGAGGGAAACAACAATCCTGTCCAGCTGGGACATCCATGAGCCACAACAATGGCCAGTACCAGATATCCTTAAAGGCACAACATCTTGGCCATCCATCAGTGACAGAATATGGAAAAGTAGACTGCCACCAGAACCACTTTTAAACCTTACAGAATGGCCTGGGAAGGGAAAGAGCTCAGGTGGTAAACGAAGTCTTGCCTTGCAAACACAAGAATCTCAGTTTGGCCCCTCAAAATCCACATTTAAAAAAAAAGCCAGGCATGGAGTATATCATGTATCCTGGTTCTGGAGAAGCAGGACCAACAGGTTTCCTGGGGCTTCTTGGCCAACTCATTACCCTCTTTCAAAATAAATAAGGAAAAAGATGGTGGCACCTGAGGTTATACTCCTACTTCCAAGAGCACTTTGAGCACTCACATACATGAGCACCACGCACACGCACACGCACTTTTAAAATTAAATGTACCATATCGTTCACACCTTCAGAAGATGTTCCCACTGAGGAAACTGAATAGAGACAGGGGAATCTACCTACATGGTAATATGAAGTTATCGCAATAAAAAGTCTAAAAGAAAAACAAAGTGGGCTAAAAACAAAAAAGATAAAAAGATAATGCCCTAGATGCAATGTGGTTTCCTAAAGTAAATACAGAAATAGAAAAACAGTGGCCAGGCAGTGGTGGTACACACCTTTAATGCCAGAACTTGGGAGGCAGAGGAAAGTGAATCTCTGAATTCAAGGCCAGCCTGGTCTACAGGGCAGGTTCCAGGACAGCCAGGGCTACACAGAGAACCATGTTTCAAAAAAACAAAACAAAACAAAAAACAATAAAAAAGAGGAAAAAAAAAGGAAAAAAAGTGAAAAAAGAAAAGAAAAATAGGACAGTTGGTTTGGGGCTTATTTACTGTAAAAATATACACGTAGGTTCCTTATACACGTACGTTCCTCATACATATTTCATATATTCTGACTCTCCAAGTATTTGTAGAAGCTTCTGCTGTATAACTTGACAGGCATTACTTATCAAACCACCAATTCAGAATTATTCCTTCAGAATTACTGATTGCACAATAAGGAAAATAACAGGCTGGAGAGATGTTCAGTGGTTAGAGCACTGGCTGCTCTTCCTGAGGACCTGGGCTTAACTCCCAGCACCCACGTGGGAGCTCTTAACAGTCCATAACTCCAGTTCCTGGGGTTCTGTCCCTCTTCTGGCCTCTGTAGGCACTGCTCAGACATGGTGCACACAGACACACATGCAGCCAAACACCCATGCACACAAAACAAATTTTAAGAAAAGAAAAAATTCCTGGACATGGTGGCTTATACCTGTAATCTAAGCACTAAGGAGGCTGAGGCAAGAGGATTTCTATGAGGTTAAGAGCAGTTGGGTTAGAGTGAGTTCTAGGCCAGCCTGGGCTATGGAATAAACACCTGTCTCAACAAACAAACAAATATAAGTTAAATTGTAAAAAGTTTTTACACTAAATACAGGTTAACTTTACTAAAAAGAAGGTCATTATCCAAACATTTCATGTGAGGTGTTTGGATCATGAGATTCTAATGATGACTCTTAATGCTTGCTCGTCCTGAAAAGAACAATTAAAAATGAGGTTTGTATTGTACCCTGTTAACTCACCAGGTGGCCCAGGCTTCAGGTCGGCGTCAAACACTAACAAGTCTTGCTTTTCTTCACTGAACTCAACCCGGAGAATGTCACTAAGAGCACCAACGAGCTCTGTCACATTTAAGAACCCTAGTTGTTTTGGTGAAAGTTGCTCCTTAAAAATTAGCTGTCATAGAAAAAAAATGTGAAAACTCTGGATATGTTAGGCAAGGCTTTAATTTTGATTAAATTGGTAGAGGGAAGGGGTGGCAGCAAACTAGAATCAGTATCTTTACTTCACACGTTAAATATTAAAACTTCTTTTCTTTATCAGTCTAATAGTTTTGAAATAACAATGTTGTATTAATTGTGAAAACATAATTTAAGAATTTGCAAGTTGTACAATCTGTTATGCTACAGTTTTCGTGTATATTACATCATCTTCATGTTATAAACCCAGCTAGAGGCCATCATTTTTGCTTTAAATAGTACTATATTTTAATTGGTGAAGGAGAGCAGGTTTTTAGAGATCTACATGCTTAATATATCCTTTGTTCTTCAACTCTTCTTTAGGACTCAAGTTTTAATCTGGCATAATTTCATTTAGCCTAAAGTATATTGTTTACTTTTTTTCTTACAATACACTTGCACTTCTCTATTTTCTGATTATCCAAAATATCTTTATAGTACTTTCATTCTTGATATCATTACCCGATATAAAAATCAATACTGTATATAAGGTGTTCTGTTTTCCCACATCTCTTCTTGGTACTGCCACACTTACAAAAATGTCAATCATTTCAATGATGTTATAATAATAGTAAAAATATTCTTCCTATCCATAGCCAAATATTTGTTACTAACTACATCCTTAACTATCATAATAAAGAAAAAGACAGTAAAACACAAATCAAATGTTAAAAGAACGCTTAGAGGAGCCTGTAGTAATGGCAAAATTTGTCTATCATAAGAAAACTAAGCAGTGCAAAGAGTAGGCTGGTATCTTACCTCAAATTCTCCAAGCAGTTTAGAAATAAACAAACCCTGTGGAAACTTAGATACAACCTAATCAACAGAAAATGAAACACAGATAAGATTGGAATATTAATAGATAAAATATTAAGATTGGCTTTTATTTTTTAAAATGTTATCATAAATATTTCATTCGTACATTTGCATAATTTTTACAAGTCCCTGCAAGTGGGCTTGTTTTAATTCCAATACAGTATAAAAAAAACTTTGTGTGCTTTGCTAAATCTTCCAGATACATTTTATAGAAAATTCTAATCCACATATTTAAAGAAAATATAAATACTCCTCTAAAGTCTCATGACCAAGATGCAAGTACTGCTGCACTTAATAACCCTTTCTCAAGAATGCACGTACGTGCTCCATTACTCATCGTTTTACAGGAAAGGACAGTGCCAGTAATGGTGCAAATCCTGTCTAAGGTGCAGCAATCTGGGAAGGCCACACTGCCTTGGGGAATGAAGATATGTATGAACTTTCTCATGGGCTGCAAGACAATCCTTAGTTTAATGAGTCCTTTATTAACGAATACTTCTCTATTTTGGGGGTGCTGTATTAACTGTGAACAGCCTTGAGCAAACAATTGTTTGTTTAAGTTAGATACTTGTTCAAGTTTCAGAAACAGCAAGCGAAGGCTGCCTGAGTGTCGGTTTTTGCCTGTCTCCCACCAGAGTCGTAGTAACTGAAGTGGGATAAGCTAGGGCAGCAGAGGTATAATGGCACTCTCTTACTCAGGTCAGGACCAAAGTCCTCAAGGCAGACTACACTGGCCCAATACACAGCCAAGGGGTTGCGTATACTATATATACTAACAATGCAAAACAATGAAACAGGCCAATCACATGAAAGTGTCAATCAGTGCTAAGGACATAAAAAAGCAGCTAATGTAAAATTGCTATCACTTAAAATGTGGCCGGAAATAAATCTGTCTGCAGAAGTGTCTGTTTGTTCAGAACAACTCTTTCAGAGGATAACAGTTTAGTTCATGTTTGTTTGTTGTTTCTCGAGACAGGGTTTCTCTGTGTAGCCTTGGCTGTCCTGTACTCGCTTTGAGATCCGCTTGCCTTTGCCTCCCTAAATGCTGGGACTAAAGATGTTAGCCACTATCCCGGGCTTATAGTAATTTTTATCTTCAATAAATTAGCCTTTCAGTGCCTTTGATGGCAACCTATACTACAAGGAACTGTTTGAGGAACTTCAGTTGCAGACTTCTTTGTAAGTAGCCAAGGTCCAAAGCAACTCAAACTTTAATCCCTCGCAGATTCTCCTGGGTGAAGCATGGAGTATAGAAACTCTGGGGTATACAAACTACCTGTAGTAACGTTACATATGCAGGACAGAAAATTGAACTGGAAAGAGCCGGGACTGTTTGTCAATAGTAATTTGGTGGGCAAGGGAGGAAATGAAGGGAAGAACCATTTTCTAAACAATTTCCCATCAAAATTTTTAGGATAAGCTTATTTATTGCTTTATTTAAAATTAGTTTATCGATTTTTTTAAAACAAAACTAATAGTCACTGCAGGCAATTAAATTAAACCACACACGAAAACCAATTATTTTTGTTTCTGAGAAATGGAAAATACTTACAAATTTTATCTTGTGTTTTAGATCTGGATCAATAGTGCCACCAGGTCCAATTTGTGCAATGACTGATTTGAATGTGTTCTCCAACTGTGAATAAAAGAAAAAGTGAAATCACTAAAAAAGTCAAAGATAAATGTAAGCAATCTGTAAAAAGAAATGTATTTCGAGCAAATGGGTCAAACCCTGCTCTTAGAACGTGGCACTGCAGGCTGATGAGATAGCTCAGCAGTTGAGAGCATTTGCTGCTACTGCAAAGGAGCTGAGTCCAGCCCCAGCCTTTGGGCATCTGCACCCCCATGACTGCACTCACACGCACACACTTAGTTAAGGAAGAAAAATATCAAGCAGCACTGATAGATTTTATACTCTATCAAATGTATAAATGCAATTTTTATTAAACTAGATAATGAGGAATATTGGAACAGAAAGAGCATTATCTGTTACAGGGTCTACAGTCTTCAGCTAAACAGAGACTCTTGTCCAGAACGAATTCTTGTCATTCATTTTCTAAAGGTATTTGGCACTTACTAAGGACTTAGTGACTGCCTAATGCCTGAGGGGCACGGGCTATTAGAAGGTTTCTGAAAGGTAGGAAGGACTGTGAATTCCATAGGGCACCAGTGGAATGAATGGCCTGTTTTAAAGAGCAATAGGGAAAAGCTCCTTTATATAATATAAGCGAAGGATGAGCTGACGCCCACAGGCTGTATTTCCAGGTGTATATATGTATCTACACATAAACAGAATTTTAAATCTAAAACTGAGGCAATTTCTACAAAAATAACCTCAACTGCTATGAAAAAAATTTACACAGAAGGAACCTAAGGAATTTATTACGAAAGAAGGAGGAGTTAACATTTTGCTATGAGTAATTACTTTAGTTTGAGTTTCTATAGTATCTCAGGGTTTCTATTACTGTGAAGAGACACCATGACCATGGCAACTATTATAAAGGAAAACATGTAACTGGAGCTGGCTTACAGCATGGAGTTTTATGTGCAGCATGGCAGCACTCAGGCAGATATGGTGCTGGAGAGATAGCTTAGGGTTCTACATCAGAATCAGCAGAAAACAAGAAGAGAGAGTGAACAACCAGGCCTGGCTTGAACTGCTGAAACCTCAAAGCCTACCCTTGGTGACACACTTCTTCTAACAAGCCACACCTACTCCAACAAGGCCACACCTCTTAATAGTACCACTCCTTATAAGCCCATGGGGGCCATTTTCATTCAAATCACCATATATAAATAATTATCTTCAATTAAAACTTCTATACGGCTCATACCCTTCTGCCCTAAGCAACCAGAAACTTGGGGATACATGAAACAAAAGTGCAGAACTGAGAGATGAGCTTGGAGAATGTTCAGCCTGCAGCATAGCAGAGATAACAGGAGGTGGCCTGATGAACTGAGAGACCATGGGAGTTTAGGCACAACAAGGATGCTAAAATATCAAGAGGCCTCAGTAGTAATGAATACTACAGAGAAACAGGTCTGAAATATGCACAAAGACCTTCCCCTCAAGGTTGTAGATGAGTACTGATTTGTACAAGTAGGGAAGGTCTTACAGGCTGGAGAAACAAGAAGCAATAGACCAAACAATGCCCTGAGTTCCCATGTGTCTAGGAGGTAACTTCACTGAGTAGAAGCATCAAACGCCACCTCAGTCGTAGGGCCTATTCATCCCTAGACTGAGGCTGATTTGGGATTTTGGACCCCACCATCTTAGTCTGTCCTGGACTACCATAACAAAATGTTCCAACAACAGAAATGCACTGTCTTACACTTCTGGGGTCTGGGAAATCTACAGTCAAATTGCCTGCCAATTTGGTTCCTGGGAAGGCTTCTCTTCTGGGCTTGTACCTGACCAACCTCTCTCACTGTGCGGCCATGTGGTCTTTCTTCAAATGTCTACATAGAAAAGGTGAGACATCTCTATGGTATCTCTTTTATAACAACACTGATTCTATCAAAAGGAATATACTTTCAAGATTTCATCAAACTCTATCTCACCAAGGCCTCATCTCTAAAAGAGCTTTAACATAAACATTTAGAAGAATATATAGCAATTTAGTCCATAGCAGCCACCTGAACTGTCCAAACTGTTGGGTTTACTTTGTTAAACCCAACAATGAATGACTCAGATTCCGTTTTACACCTGTCAGAATGGCCAAGATAAAAAACAAAAACAAAAACCCTCAAATGACATCTCAGGTTGTGGAGAAAGGGGAATACTCCTCCATTGCTGGTGGGAGTTCAGACTTGTACAACCACTTTCTGGCAGTTTCTCAGAAAATTGGGAATAGCTCCTACCTCAAGACCAGCTATACCACTCCTGGATATATACCCAAAAGATACTCCACCATATAACAAGGACACTTGCTCAACTATGTTCATAGCAGCTTTATTCATAATATCCAGAAACTGGAAACAACCCTCAACCCAAGAATGGTTGAAGAAAATGTGGTACCTCTACACAATAGGATACCACTCAACTATTAGAAAAACAAATGCATCATGCAATTTGCAAGCAAATGGACATAACCAGAAAAGATCCTCCTGCGTGAGGTAACCCAGAACTAGTAAGACATGCATGGTATGTCCTCACTTGTAAGTGGACATTAGCCATAGAGTACAGAATAGCCATGCTACAATCCACAGACCCAAAGAAGAGAAGAAACAAGGAGGGAGCCAAGGGAGGATGCCGAAACCTCATACAGAGGGGGAATAAAATAGACATCTGAAGTAGATGAAGGGAATGACCTGGGTGGAGAAGGAGTAGGCAGGGTAACTGAGGAGGGACCAGTTGTAGGGAGAGTGGGGCTGGGTACTGGGGTGGGGGTTGAGGAGGACCAGGAGAAAACAGAAATCTGAGTGTGTAGGAGGCATCTCTGGGACTGGGAGGTTCCTGGGAGTCTATGAGGGTGACCCTAGCTGACACTCCTAGCATTAAGGAATATGGAGCCTGAAACAGTCACCTCCTATAGCCAGGTGTGACTTCCAGTGGAGGGAGGGGGACACCAACCCACCCATAAAAGCTTCAACCCAAAATTTGTCTTGCATACAAGAAGTGTGGGGACAAAGACGGAGCAGAGATGGAGGGAAAGCAAGGACTGGCCCAACCTGAAACCCTCCCCTACCAGTGGACTTGGGGAGGGGAAGTGTGTGGAGAAGGGGAAGGAAGGGAGAGGTTGGGAGGGGAGGAGGGGGGATACAAAGTAAATAAAGTATAATTAAAAATAAAATAAAAATTAAAAAAAAGTGAATTTCCTCAACTCAGGAAGGAGAATCCACATGCATAAGAAAGTTACAGTGAGCCGGACGTGTTGGCACATGCCTGAAATTGCAGCAGAGGCAGCTGAGCCTCTGAGTTCAAGGCCAGGCTAGTCTACAGAGTGAGTTCTAGGACAGCCAAAGAAACACTGTCTTGAAAAATGGAAGGAAAGGAAGGAAAAGAAGGAAAAAGGAAGGAAAGGAAGGAAAAGAAAGGAAGGAAAGAAGGAAGTTAGGCTGGTTACTGCTAATATCAGAGTGAATGTTCAAAGACTGAATACACACACACACACACGTGTCAGGAACAAGACAAGAATTCCCATTCCCACCATCTCTCTTCGTAATAGAGAGCCTAGCCTAAGTATAAGGGGGGGAAATGGCAGATATACTGAAAAGAAGCAAAGCTGTCCTTTCCCACAGATGGCATTATGAAATTTAAGAAAAGCCTCACCCCTACAAAATGGCTGCCAGGATGATGAGGATAGTCAAGCCAAGTTTATTAAGTACCTTAAATCAAGGTTCTAAGACACAAGTTATATGTTAGCAATGATTAATTAAAAATATCATCTTAGCTGGAAATGGTGGAGCATACCTTTAATCTCAGCATTGCGAGGGGCAGAGGCAGGTGGATAGTCGTGACTTTGAGGCCAGCCTCATCTACAAAGCAAGTCCAGGATAGCCAAGGCTACACAGAGAAACCCTGTCTCAAAACAAACAAACATACATACATACATATACTTAATACAATAAAAATAGCGTAAGGAATAAGTTTAATATAATTTATGCAAGCCACATACACTGAAAACTACTATATACTGTTGTGAGAATTTAAGGATGAAAATAATGAAGAGACATTCCATTTTCTTAAATTCTGGGACTTAATAGAAGAGTATTATTCTTCCTCAAATTCATCTATAATATCCAGTGCAATTCTAATCAAAATAATGAAACTTTGTTTTGATCAAAATTATTAGCAGATTTATATACAATCAAATATATGGAAATGTAAAAATGTAGACGAGCCAAAATAGCTGTAAATAAGAACAAGATTATAGGACTCCACTTTATCATTTCAAGCTACTACATTTCAAGATGATAGTGATCAAGCAGCCGCAGTGGAAAGAATGCCTGCCCAGAAGACAGGCTGCTGCAGTGCCTGTCCTTAGGAGGAACACGTCACGTCACGTCATACCTGGCACCTTACATAAAAATTAGTTTGAAACTGGTAGTAGACCTAAATATATAACCTGAATCTCAAAAATTCTAGGAAAAATGTAGAAGAAATTTTTGTTCTTTTGCATTCAGCAAAGATCTATTAGATAAGCAAGAACCATGTGAGAAAACTCTGAAAAAATTAGATTGCCAGAATCAAGGACAACAATTTCACAAAAAAACAAATTAAGAAAAGAAGAGTGTGGCTGGAGAAAAGGTTCAGCGGCTAAAAGCACTTGCTCTTGCCGAAAACCCAGGTTCATTTCCCAGCATCCGTCTGCTAGCTCACAACCTTCCGAAACTCCAGTTGCAGGGATCTGATGCCCTTTTTGGCCTCCATGGCCACCAGGCGTGCACATGACACACATCCATCCATCCAGTCAAAATGTAGAGTAAAATAAATAAAGCTAAAGAAAAAAATTAGAGAGTCAAACCATAGGCCCTGAGAAAATGCCTGCATTACATGTTCACGTTAAGACTTATACCCAGAATGTACTGAATTCTTCCATTTGAATAAAATGACAACCCAATGTTGTAAAGAGAAAATGACTCTGACTTTTCAAAGACAATGTATAAAATGGCAACTATGAACACAAAAAGAAACTTAACATATCTAATATAGTATATTCTCCAGCATAAAATCAAATGACTTAATATTAAACAGAAGCTGGACCTGAAGATATGGACATGGAGGTATCTGCCAAAAAAAAAAAAAAAAAGCCAGAAATCATGCACCTGATGAAACTGCCACCTCCTCTTACTTGTCTCTGCAACCACAGGAGAGACTTGGCTATGCCTACAATCAATAAGTGGAAAAAAACAAACAAACAAACAAACAAACCCTTCTGTTCTTACTATTTTAGGTGTACAGATGAATGTTCGCAATTGTTTCTGTGGCCTGGTACCTGCAGAAGCCAGAAGACAGCCTCAGATCCCCTGGAGCTGGAGTTCCAAAGGCCATGAGCAACTACATGCTGGGAATTGAACCCGGGTCCTCTGTTAAAGCAGCCAGCACTTTTCAGGACTGTAGACCTAGCCCCCACCAGCTTCAGGCTTCAACTCTTCAGAGGTCAGTTTTCCCATCAGATCTAAGTGACAACGCCACGGAACTCAAATGCGTACCTCAGCATGCGTCTACCCCTGAACTCGGCGCCTCACCTGGTTTAATTTTTCACTGTGGTTCAGCCTTGCGGTCTCCAGTGCACTGAATGGGGGCATCTTCTCCATGTTCAGCACTTGCTTTGGTGGTTCCATATTTGAAGTGGGTTGTGCAAAGCGTGTCTTCATTACTGGGAATCCTGTAGAATATGACCCCTGTTGTTTCATTCTAAATGGCTGTGTAAAAATTTTACCTTTTGTGAAGAAAGAAAAAACAAACGGTGACTAGCAATTTGCCAGGGATTTTAGAGAAACACTTCCATGAGCTACGAGCCCTCAATTTAGAATAAAAATAAGGGAAAAAAAGCCATATATATTCAATAACACTTACATACTCTGCAAGTGATTAGTCATTTATTTAAAAAATACTATGAAACCATGTTACTGAAAAGATTGCTGCTCTCTGAGACTCCATATAAGGTCACCTGAATATAACTGTGAAGAAACATTTTAAAGGGGAAAAAAAAACTTAAAAAATGTCTGTCCTCATAACCAAACCTTCGGCAGAGTGCAAGGAATCATATGAAAGAAGGGGGAGTTAGTATGACATGGAAAGGATAGGAGCTCCACAAGGACCAAATATATCTGGGCACAGGGGTCTTTTCTGAGACTGATACTCCACCAAGGACCATGTATGGATATAACCTAGAACCTCTGCTCGGATGTAGCCCGTGGTAGCTCAGTAACCAATTGTTTTCCCATTGTAAGGGGAACAGGGACTATTTCTGACAAGAACTCAATGGCAGGCTCTTTGACCTCCCCACCCCCCAAGGGAGGAGCTGACCTGATAGGCCACAGAGGAGGACTTTGCAGCCAGTCCTGAAGATACCTGATAAACCAGGGTCAGATGAAAGGGGAGGAGGTCCTCCCCAATCAGTGGACTTGGAAAGAGGCAGGGAGGAGATGAGGGAGGGAGAGAGGGTGGGATTGGGAGGGAATGAGGGAGCGGGACACAGCTGGGATACAGAGTTAATAAAATGTAACTGATAATAAAAATAAATAAATGAATAAATAAAAAATGTCTGTCATTTCAAAGACCAGAGAGTGTCCAACTGAGAAGTTTGCACAAAGCTATGCTTCTCATGTGGGTGTGAGGAAAAACAAGGAGGAAACGCTACTAGGATCATTGGATGATCCTAAAATGTAAGTTCTCTACTGGGGACTGTATTCTGTATTCTGGGGACATGTATCCCTGAAAACCATCAGGGTCTAGTGCTTTCTTTACACCAGGATCAAGCTTACCAAATATATGAATTACTTCTGAGCTATCTGCAGAGGTGGGGAAGGAGCCATGGATGGGAAATGGAACAATGCAATCCCTGGAAGAGAACAGCCACTTCTACTGTTCAGTACAAGTTGGCAAACTGCTTTACATACCATGGGATTTGCTGACAAGCAAACCCTGGACCTTGCACGCGCTAGGCAAGTGCTCTGCCACTGAGTTATATACCTGGCCCCTTTGACAGCTCAATGGCAAGTGAGTCTTCCTGAGTCCTAGCCCTGGAAGAACACTGGTAAGGTTGAGGGCTATCCCCCCCAACACTCGCTGCACCCAGAGATTTCTCTGACCACAACGTACTCATATCTTTATAGACCTGCATTATCCACTGGTTAAAACACTGCTTTGCAAATTCATGGCACAGTCTCAGTGTATACACCCTAAGTCTAGGGTAATGATTACGTTACTCTTGAGCCTCATCCACCATGCAGTATGAACTTACTAAATGCCAGGTTCTCTACAGACCTTGTCTCACGTAAGGTCCTCAGCACAACTCCAAACCCCATGTATCACATCTACTGCAGAGATCTGGAGACCAAAGCTTATGCACATTAACTAACTTGCTTAAGATTATTCAACTTGCAAGTGGCAGACAGGTTTTAACTTGAAAACAAAACAAAACAAACAAACAAACAAACAAACAAAAAAACCCAAAAAAACCTCACGAAGTTTAACCTTTCAATTAACATTTGCTCACCCACAGCACAATCTCTTTTTGCCACATGTATCTGTGTGTGACACGCACATGCCTGGTGCCCATACAGGCCAGAAGAGGGGCTCAGGTCCTCTGGAGCTGGAATTACAGACAGTTGTGAGCTGCCCTGTGAGTGCTGAGTGTTGGTTCTCTGGAAGAGCAGCCAATGCTTTTACCGGCCGAGCCATCTCTGCAGCCCTACAACTATTTTTTTTTCTAATTTAAATTTAAGAATTTCATACGTGAGTGTTGTATTTATATCATTTCCACTTCTCCCTCTCCCTTCCAACTCTTCCCACGTCCCCACCTCCCTATCCAATTTGTGACCTCTTCAATTACTGTTACATGCATGTGTATATTAATACAACCTGCTGAGTTCATCTGGCATTGCTCACGTATCAATCTATCTAGGGCTCACTGCTTGGGCTTAGAAAACCCATCATAGGGCTGGTCCCTAGAAAAGACTGATCCTCTCTCAGCAGCCATCAGTGGCCTACTGTAGCTCTTCACCTTGGGGTGAATGGAGCCTTCTGGGCTGTCCCCTTCATGCTGATGTATCAACTGCTGTTGTCTATGTGCAGGTCTTGTTTTGGTGACCGTTATTTTTGAGACGTCTGTGGACATGACACAATTGTAAATGCTGACAAGCTTACCTGCTGGCCAACCTCTCTGCTTTTCCTCTGATACACTCTTTTTCAGTGTCAACAGAGAACCTGCTCTGGTCTGCTCTACAGAAATGACATCCGAAGCCGCGTTCAACACTTCAAACATAGAGAGGAATCCATACTGCATGTACTGAAATGATCGTCCGAAACGCTTGGCAAACGCCTTTTCAAAGTCAGAAAGGAGAACAGGAGACAAGGCCAGAAGGTCTTTCAACTCACTCTTCACAACTGCTGGAAGTATGGGGGGCACTCTTCCACGGTAAGGCACCCGGCTGGAGCAGATGCCGGTTCTCCCCTTCTGCATGGAGTTTCGGACCTTGTGGTTCCTCCTCTGCTTTGCGACTAAGCTTGCTATTCCTTTGGTGGATTCATCTGGAATGGCTGAGGAGATACGGGGGTTGGTAATCACTTTCAGGTAAAAAACACACTCCATTCATCCGTTCTATCTGCAATTACACTGACATTTTTTTTTTTTTTAACTCTACAGGGAACTGTTTATGGCAGCATAACACAAAGCTCTCGGTGCCACCATTTTTTTACATTTTGACCAATGGCTTCCTAACTCCTAACTCCTCAAGAAGATGTGCTGTTACTGCTAATTGGTGAAGTTTTAAGGCTCTTGAGATGAACAAATTTGCCTACAGTGGCATTTCTGTGCCTCGTGAAATTTAAAATGAGCTGTAATCTGAAATTGTGCAAATGTCTTATTTTGTGAATACCCATTCTTCTAGAGAATGGGAGTTTTAGGGGTCATTTTGTTTTTGCTCTCACTTCGCCCACAACCTCAAAGGCACCTATGACTACCACCCCGGTTAAGATCCGCTGCCCTGGGACACGGGATAACCGCAGAACGGGTACAATTCTGTACTGAGTGGTAGGCTTTAGTTATAACGAGTATAAACCTACCTTTCAGTATCACAGTACCATCCCCGCAGGGGCATACACTAACCACATCCGGCATATCCAACACCAGTTCCATAGTGGACCGGTACCCAAGGATTCGGAGGGGTAGATGGTTGCCAACCATCAGAAGGTATTCCTTTTCCAGCTGCTGTGGGGTCAACCCATCTTTAGTGGAAATAAGAAGTGACCTTATCTCTTTCCTCAGGCAGTCCTGTATACGCTCTTGTTCAGACATTGTGCTATAAAACAAAACAAACAAACAAACCCTTTAACGATCAGCCATGGAATATAACAACTCGGATGTGAGGTTTACAGGCGTAAGGCTGAAGCAATACCGTGAGGGTATTCCAAGTATTCACAAGCCCTCCTTGCCGTGGTCACTACAAACCCCAAAGCTCGGCTTGTAGGGATGAGCGCTCCCAAACTAGCCTCGGGCTGCTCTCAAGTCCCAGCTGGGCCTGGCTGGTTAGGAAGATCTCGAGCTCTTTAGGGGGTGCCATTCATTCCCCAAGGCAGCTCAGTATCAGCTGGGCTCTGGGCCACTCTTTGGGAACCAAGGGTGTTAGGCCTCGGTGCAAGGGGCGACGCGGAGAAGCCCGAACCGACCGCAGGCCGCCCCATCTCCTCGCTCCTCTTGGACGGCGACGGGAGTGTGTGTATGGGGGGTGGGGTCCCCTCCTTCGGACCGGCGCCCCTCACCGCCCCAGCTGGCCCTCCCGTGCCGAGGGCCCGCCGCTACCTCGGCTGCGGCTCGCCGGCCTCGCTCCCCGCCGCACCCGCGCTGCCGTTGCGCGCCGCCCAAGTCCGGGGCGCTCCGGGAGGGCCGCGGAGGAGCCGGGCTGGCGACGGCGTCGCGCGCCTGCGCACCGCGGCCCGTCGAGTCCCGTGCGCCGGGTTCCACGCGAGGGGGGCGCGGCCGGTGTGACGGTTAGCGGAGCCCCCCGGGCGGGTGCGGCCGAGGCTGCTCTCCCTTCCGGGACGCCGCTGCGCGCCGCCGCGCCCACCTCCTCCGGGAGCCGCGGCCTCCCCGCGTCCGCACCCGCACACCTGCCTGTGTGCCCGCCCGGGCCGTCCCGCCCCCAGGCACCTGCGGGAGGCGGGAGCCGCGGCGGACGCACCTGCTGAGCAGGCTAAGCCCGGACCAACGCTCTCCACCCCGCCTCCGAAGACGCCAACACGTGCTCGGGCCGAGGGTCTGCGATTATTTGGGGGGGGGGAGGATTAAGGGCGACCTGGTTCTGACTTGAGAATTACTGCTGAGCTGGATGCGACTTTGACGCCTAGAAGAGAGAGAAGGATGGAGGGAGGGAGGAATGGTGGAATGAGTGAAGGACTCTCCAGATGCAATGCAGAGAAGTGGGAGACTAAAGAGGATGATTTTATTTGGATATATTTGTTGGATTTGCAGAATAAACTACATTGGCAAGAGTCCTCAAAAACTAGCAAGTAGAAATGCGTGGTATGAAAACTTTTCCTTAACAATAGGCAATCGTAAATGGACTGGACAAACGAAAAGATTGTCAAAGGGTTCCGATGAAGAGACCGGAAGCCGGGTGAGGTGATGCATACCTGTTGAGCCTAGCGCCTGGGAAGCGGAGAGAGAAAAAGCCCTAGTTGGAGACCCTGCTGGATTGCATAAGAACAGAATCCAAGTGAACAAAATGTTTCATCAATGAACGAGGAATATTAAACAATCTCTTAAAAACAGAAACTAGAGAAGATTTATATATTCGGTTTATAGCCAAGCAGTGATAAGTAAACAGAAAAGAAAATTCTAAGATGAAAAAATGGGCCCATATATTGCAACATTTCAATGACGAAGTTTTAGAAGCAACATATCTTCATATTTTAAAGGTCCATTGAGTCCTCAGACTAACTAAAAACCTTCTAAGAAAAAGCCTAGGAGAAAAGGAATCAAGAGATTTTAGCTATCTATAAAACAGTGGAAATTAGACGGCCATTCAAGCAAAATCTACCCAGCTGAATCTGGTATCCCTGTAAGCCAACATCAAAAGAGTAGAGTTAAAGTGTTTTCATAAAAGGCTCAGAAAACATATCGCTGAATGACTCCTACAAAAAGCTTCGCATCCCAGATTCTCCTAGCCAATAACCAGAGATAACAAAAGGTAACTTACTGAGTACCCGGTATTCTGTAAAGATTAATTCTATTCCTACTCACGGAGAACGGGTCTTACGCAGTTCAGGCTGGCCTCAAACTTAATGAGATTCTCCTGCCTCTACCAAGGACTGAGACCACAGGTGCGGCTTTGATCCAGATAAGACAGTGATTCATGGATAATATCCTAGTTCTCATCTCTGTTGCTGTGACTAGAGTATCCTGACCAAAAACCAACCAGGGTCAAAGGGTTTATTGTAGCTTACAATTCCAGTTACAATCCCTTACTGGGGAAGTCAGTGAAGGAAAATCAATGCAGCTTGTAACATCTGCAGTCAAGAGCAGAGAGAAAATACATGTTTAAATGGTAACTAATTTTATTTGTATATGGTCCAGAGCTCAAGCCCAAGTGCCATCCACATTCAGGATGGGTCATCCCAGGTCAACTAACCAAATTTAAGACAGTAGCCCACAGGCCAACCTGATCTAGACAGTACTTCATTGAGATTCTCTTTCTACATGATTCTAGGCTGCGTGAAGTTGGTTAACTATCAGGTAGCAGAAACAAAATTTGAATCTTGAAAAGGTTATTGGAGAGAGGAGCGCAGAGGACACGCACAGGACGAAGTCGCTGCGCTGCGCTGCGTTGCATCCTCTGGAATGTAACTGGGAACAGCGTGGGAACCATCTCATTGGTTCTTTTCCCTGTGGTGATACCGCTGCAGATCTCCAGGGTAACTGCTTCCAGTGCACTTGCTTCCAGACCACTTCATGTTTTCTATCACAAAATGCCTTGCTCCAGGATTGAATATGCCAATGTGGAAATTCCCACTGCTAAAGTTACTTATTCCAGCAATTTACTTGACAACTAAGACTCATAACTAGATGATAAATTCAGTTCCCCTATCTTGATACAAAGGTGAACCTGGACCAAAATGCCATTTATCTCCTAAGCCATATAAACTGATGTCATACAGCGAGTGCAATAATTATGAATTTTGGAACTGGCAAATGGTGGTCACTGCAAGTTTGAGTATTTTCTTTTCTGTAGAAAAGCTGTCTGTAAGAGTTGTCAAGGTCTTTGCGGAAAGCCGGAGGTGTATGTTTGCCATTGTTGTGAGACGATCTTTTCTTGAGGAGATGCCACACACACGTTTACTCGACCCAGATAGGCAGCCACCACAGACCAGAGTGCAGACACCAGCAAAGCCAACTTGCTGAACCCTTGAGTTTCTTTGGGGGTTACTTCCAGGAAGATGGATGAGGTGATACAGGAATAGAAATCACTCAAAGACGGCTGCATCACCAAGGCCAGCCCCACCGTGGGTGACAGGCAGCTCACAGAAGCTGGGAACCTGGAGCACACTGCGCATCCTGGAGGCAGCCCAACGGGTTATACTGTACTTCCCAAGTGACTCCGTTGGTTCAGGCAGCTGGTATGGTGTCAGTCCTCTTCACAGCCTGGCTGAGCAAGGTCTAAGATGGACTCTCAGTCTTTATTGCCTACTCTGACAGGTGGGAGTGTGGGTGTGATGAATTTGATCAATTTCAGGGACTTCCTTGAAGCTATTTGAGTTGTTTACCTTCCTGTTTAAAGAGCTTCCAGGCAAGATAGAAGGTTTCAATCTTAGAGGAATTCATGTAAAGGCTGTGGATCTGGAATCTGGAGTTGGTGCTTAGAAGAGGGTAAAAAGTCTTACCTTTGCAAGACGTGAGAAGTGTCTATTCTAAAAACATGAAGCCTGTTTTACTAGTGTGTTTTTGTTGCTACACACTAGTCTCAGTGGATGTAGAGTTCATTTCTTGGGTCCTACAATTGAGGTCACCAGACAGCTCCGTAGCTCAGGCCACCTCTTGCTTTCTTTCCCTATTACCGTGTCCAATAGCCTGTTTGTTGTCTGGTAATTAACCTCCTCCATCTGGTATCCTCCCCGCACTGCTTGCAATCTGGGAGTGAATCTCAACTGCAGCTGCTCCTACAAGCATTCTTGCCTTAAGAACGTCAACGTCAGTAAAAGTTTCTGGAGTTTTTTTTTTTTTTGTCTGGTTGGTTTTTTTGTTTTGACAGTGTTGGGGATTGAAACAAGGGCTTCTGTACGTGCTAAGCAAACAGTACTCTGAGCTACAATCTCGGCCTTGGATGACATTTTGAAGAGAATAGAAGAAGCCCATGCTTAACTCAGTACATTATTCCTGCTTCCCAAGCTTTTGAACATTAATGCCTAGTTTGGGCCACTCGATACTGAGGTTCAAGATTGTTGACAGTTACCCCAGGACTTTGACATCTGTTGTAGACATCTTAACCTAGTATTACCCTACCACCTGAAGACAACTAAAAATCTAAATATATATATACCTCAGCTCCACCCCAGGCCTTTGCATTGGCCTTCCCATATCTTTCCTTCAGGTCTCTGTGTAAATGTGTGTTGGACTGGAGGTGCTTTTTTCCATTCCTCATTCTAGTCCCAAAGCACCTGTAGGACCACAATCTTACTCTTTGGTTATCACTATACAATTCTGTGTTTCCATCTCTTTATAGACTCTTATTATATAAAATTATGCTCTGATGCTTTTTATCCTGAATAGAAAGGAAGAGCAAGCCAGGAAGGGGGAAAAACCTTCTCTTGACCTATATCTCTTTCTTGCTTCTTATTTGTAGCCAAATCCTTGAATAACAATCCACATTAGCCTTTTTTTTTTTTTTTTTTTTTTTTTACCTTTTCCTCCACAATTCACCACTTAGTATAAAGTATTCTGCCTTTTGTTCATCCAGGGACAAGCTTAAAAAATGCAGTCTTGGGCTGGAGAGATGGCTTCAGAAGTTAATGAGCATTGGCTGTTCTTCCAAAGGTCCTGAGTTCAATTCCCAGCAACCACATGGTGGCTCACAACCATCTATAATGAGATCTGGTGTTCTTTTCTGGCCTGCAAGCACACATGCAGGCAGAACACTGTATAAATAATAAAATGCAGTGGTGTCAAATGCCTTTAAAATCGTCTGATTTTCTTTCTTCTGGAGTATTTTCTAAATTTACACCATCCCCTTTCCAAAGCCTTGGACCATCTTTGATCCTCGATTCCCTAGACCCCGCTGTTCTCCCACAGTTGGTCAACCTGACATCTGAAAATTGAGAAAGTCAAACAACACATCTTTGTAGCTGCCAGGTCCCAAAGGGTAGCATTTGAACTTTCATCTAGTGCCAATAAATTGTTTCTGTTCCATGAAATAATCTGCATAGATACATGTCCACCCCTTCGTTTACGTGGATGTCAAATGTGAAGGCACTAACCAGCAGTAAGTGTGGCATCGTACACTCAGGCTCTGTGATCTCGACACACAAGGCAAGAGTGTCCCCTTCTCCTCCTTGCCCTATTCTTATAGACAGCAGTCTCAACAAATGCAAACGAGGAGTGAAGTATTAAACGCTTATGGCTATACTGAATAGTTTCAGCTGAGGTATGAGCAACATTTTTAATTAAAAAGGAATCTGAAAGAAAGCATCAGCCTCACTGTAATAGTAGCTGACTAGCAGGACTCACTGCTCACTCTGCGCTGCCCTCCCCAACTCCTCCACTGTCCAGAACGCTGAACCAGCCATTTTATCGTGAACCTTCATGCATTTTTCAGATTTCATCATTTGGAACCCCATCCAATGTGTAAGCAGGCACTTATGTTGCTTTAGATATGGAGAAGAAAATCATACTCCTTTTCTCTCTGTGAACCAAAGACAGCTACAGAAGTGTGTGTGTGTGTGTGTGTGTGTGTGTGTGTGTGTGTGTTCTAGGTGGGAAATATCGAGCCAGAATTTTTAAATACTTGCCCTCTCATGTAGCTTATGTAAGAATCATTGTCAAGAGCCACATGGATGTCAAGGCAATTAAGAACAGGGCTGCTGTTCCAGGTTCAAGGACCAAGGTTCAATTCCCAGTATTCACACGGTGATTTACAGCCGTCTGTAACTTCTGTTCCAGGGGATCTAATGCCCTTTTCTGGCCTCTACAGGCACCAGACATGCACAACGCACACAGATATACATGCAGGCAAAAAACTCATGCATAAAATAACTTTTAAAAAATAATTTAAAACCCAGGGTCAAATTTTTACTTAATTTCAGGTTACTTGGTTACTAAATAGTTATTGTATTCCTGTGGCTGTCTGGGACATATGAGAGAAAACAATACTTTTCAAGATCAATATAAACTGATCTTCAGGTTCTCATCACTAAAGTTTCCTAAAAGTTTTTGAGAGAAAAAGGTATGTGTGAAATATTGAAAACTAAAGAATAAATAAACATTTCTATCGGCATGGGTTCTAACTATGGAAATAAAATGGTGAACTTTGCTTTAAAAGTTATCTAGACACACTTCTGTTCCAGACAGAAACGGAGGAATACAAGAGAACTAGAGGGTCAGGTTCCCCCAGAAAAGGTGAGGCAGCTCCTGGCTCTGCATTCGGAAGCAGCTTAGCCGGTGAACTTTGAAAACGCTGAACCCCAGCCTTCAAGAAAGCATGGGAACAGGACCTGCGAGAGAAAAGCGACCCTTTCTAACACAGAAATCAAAGCAGATCCTCTGGTACCACGCGTCCTGTTTCCTAATGTTAAGCCACCGAAGCAGAGCTGCCTCCCCTCCCTAGTCCGCGGGCCTGGCGGGTGGACTGGCACCGGGACTCTCCCACCTAGGTCCTCCTAGAGCTCCGCACCCGATCTTGGCGGTCCCTGGGCGAGATCTCTGCCGTTGGGTTGAGGGTGGGAAGGGCCGTCTCAGGCCCCGCCCTTCGCACCTCCCTCCCGCAGCAAGGTCCTTGGGGTCCTGGGGTAGCTCCGCGGGTGCTCAGAAAGCTGGGGCGGCGACTGTGTCAGCCGCGGGCTCCGGGGCTCTCCCGCTGCGCTGAGGATGGACAGCAGGGCGCGGAGCTCTTCGAGGGAGGCGCAGCGGCGGGGTGGCAGGTCCTCCTCTAGGGAGGACAAGCGGGCGAAGGCCGAGAGGGGCAGCAGAGGCCGCGTGCGCCGGGAGGCTGGGTCAGAGCGGCGGAGCGCCGACCGGACGGGGACCCGGGGGGAGCCCCGAGCTCCCGCCGCCACCGTAGTGGACGTGGACGAGGTTCGGGGCTCCGGTGAAGAGGGCACCGAAGTGGTGGCGCTGCTGGAGAGCGAGCGACCAGAGGAAGGTATGGAGGGCAGATCCGACCAGAGGAGGGGTGTGGGGAGCAGGTGAGAGATGCGATCCGAGTGCAGTGAGTTGCCCCATTGTGGCAAAGCCAGACTGCGGCAGCGATTCCAGTTTCCGGGGAAAGACGTGAATTAGCGAGTGGTGGAGAGCAGAGTGCATCAGGTGGAATACAAACAGTAACATCAGCTTAATCGTTTGTCCCTAGCTGCCAGTGGAGTTGGGGGAGAGAGAGAGAGTGGTCCAGGACTGGCTCCAGCCAACGTGCAAAGAAAGGAACCAGTGCTGGCTTTTGTGGACACACACCTATGGACACTTAATATGATGCTCTGAGCATCAACTGTGTGCCTCCTCTTCCCTCATCGCCTATCAGACTTAAGTCTAAGAGTATTTTAACCTTTCTTTGGAATGGCTTCTTCCGATCCATTCTTCCCCCCACCCCCATAAAGGCAAAGGCAGTGGAGCTAGTCGAAGAGCCAAACACTTGCCCGCAGGGTGACCACAGAAAGAATTCTTATCGACCATGTGACCACAAAATGTGCTTCTTGCGGTAGATGTGAATAAAATAAGCCTTCCAACGCACTCTGCACAATCTCCGCTAAATCCTCGAAAGCTGAAAGAACACCACTCACTACAGGAAGGGATATAGAGGGCTTCCTTTTACCTCCTGGGGTGCCTTCACTCTTAGGGAGAAACATATCTACTTCCAAACTTCTTCATAACAAATGTAAGAAAAAAATCATTACTGCCAAATTAAAGGCGAGCAGATGTTTGAGGAAAGCAAGGACCAACATGCTACACTGCTGTCTGCTAGCTACGTGGAGAATTAACATTTCCTAGTTACCAGCAGTGCAGTGTGTGCTGGATCATAGTACGCCACTATTTGTGGAAGCCTCCTGCAATTGGGCTATAATGTAGATGGTCTGTGCTGCTCATGCTTTTTGCCTGAGAACCCCTGGTCCTTAGGAGAGGTTCTTGGGTTCAGTGCTACAGAGATAAAAATTAGTGTGTGCCAGATCAGTGTGCCAGCAGGGAAGTAGGCAAGCGAGGCAGCCCCATTTCTGGAGTCCTTTCTATGGCAAGCGCACACTGGGTGCTTTGTTTTATTTAGTTACACATCACAGATGAGAGATGATGCTTTGAAAAATTAAATAGTGTGCTTGCACTGGGCACAGCTTTCTAGAGGAGCAATTAATAGGGGTTGGAGAGGTCGGCTTAGATGGTGGTCTGGGTAATGCTAGAGAGGCAGAAAAGCAGGTTCCCAGTCCAAACAGAGGGACACCTTACCTGTGCCAACTCCTGAAAGACTACGTGTTCTCTGAAGAGTCTTTGGCATTGAGTTGAAGCATCATGAATGTGGAGTGCCACCGTTCCATTATCACCTTTTTTACTGAGACAAGCTAATGTTAGGCCAAATAGGTGATTCCCAAAGACTGCAGAACATCTTACTCCAGCAAAGGGACTCTGATGGAAGAAAGTCAGACATGGCAGTGCCAGGAACTTGTAGGCACTTCACACCTTAAAACCTGAGACCTGCCAGGCACGAGCTGGCATCTTCATGTGTGGATGCCGCTTTACCCTTGTACTGGCTATATCAGATGTAGCTCATGGACAGGCTGTTATGAGATAGTAATCAGTTAACATCCCCTTATATAGGTGAGGAAAGTAGGTGTAAAGAGGTTCTTGCCCTGCTTAAAAGTCAGCTGTGGACATAAATGATGGAAGTAGAACTGGAGCCAACTGGTCTCCCTGGCCTCCTGGTCCCCCAGTTCCCCTTGCTGGTTTATTCCACCTTCTGTCTGCCCACACAATCCTTCACATGGACAATTGACCTGGGAACTCTGATCATTCTGATGTCTGGCTCATCCCAATTTTTCCAGAAATGTCTCCAACTGTTCTGACTCTGATACTAAGCACTAGACTGACAAATACTGCTGGACAAATATGGTGATGCTTCAACGTAATCGTTTCCCTAGGTGTCAAGGCCTCTGGGTTAGGGGCCTGTGAGTGGCTTCTTGTCCTTGCCTCCCTGCTCTTCATCGTCATAACTTTCCCTTTCTCCATCTGGTTCTGCATCAAGGTGAGTTCCTACACAAACCCAAGAGGTGATTTTTCTGTTGTCTCTCATAGACCAAGCTGTCGGTCTGTGTTTGATGCCTGCCTTCCAGGAGAGCTCTGCTTCCTTCAAGACCCGGCTCAGTGTAACCATGTAATTCACCCTCCCAGCCCGCTACCCCCTGCCCTGTGCTCCTCCAGTATTTACTCTGCTTTCACTTTTACACTTCCTACATGCATAGTATTGGTGGTCTTCTCACCCGGCTAGGACAATATGTTAGCAAATCGTGTGTGTGTGTCTGTCTATGTCTGTCTGTCTAAGGACAGGGACACACACACCTATTAGACTGAGACACACACACCTATTAGACTGAGAGAGCCTTCAGAAGCTTCTTCTAGTTTGTCCATGTCCAGTGACACAAAGGGCATCCCAGATCAGACCATCTACTTTGACACTACAGGGAATTGTACCCGGCAGCTTCTCCAGACCAGGAGAGAAAAATATCTTTGGTCCCCAAGTGTTTTACACATACTAACCCCAGAAGAAAATGAAGACCTGGGCACACTCAGGAAGCACATGCTGAGATGAAATTTGAAGCTCAGGGGACTGAGAGGAGAAAGAACAAGACCAGGCAGGGGACATCTTTAATAACATAGTTTGGCACTTCAGATAGAAGAAGTGGGAGAATTGGACAGAAAGAACCCCAGACTGTGTGTGGTGCAGCTCTCAAATAGCCACAGCCTGATTAAAAGGGAACCCTAAAGCAAAGTTCGCTTCAAAGGAGTCCCACGGTGGGCAGGAATGGTCAGGCCCCCACAGCCCTGCCAGCCATTGTTCTACACTGGCTAAAGCTGCCAGCGAAGAGTGAGGCTGTGGATGGACACTTAGAGGTGCAATCAGGGCTGTTGCTTGTCCTAGTCCTCACATCATCCAGGGGCTTTCCCAACCCCTTCTCCTCCTCTTCCCACCAGACTGCATTGGATTGTATCACATGGTATTTTTTCATCTATTGAAATTTTTTATGTATTGTCTGGTCTTTATTCTTTACTGATTGGATGTATTATCATTTGTTCATTCTAGGATGTTTTAAAAAACTCCAGCTTGGGGGTCTGTGGTGATAGTTCAGTTGGTAAAGTGCTTGCTGCCTAAGCTCGCAGACCTGAGATTGATGCGTGGAAAAAAGGAGGGGGGGGGGCACATACTGCACACTTGTAAATTCTCCCTAGCACTAGGAAGGCGCCTAGTTAGGTTTTCTATTGCTGTGATGAAACACTATGACCAAAAGCAAATTGGGGAGGAAAGAGTTTACTCCCACTTGGGCTTCCATATTATGGTGTATCTTTGAAGGCAGTCAGGACAGTAACTCAAACAGGGCGGCAACCTGAGGCAGGATCTAACGCAGGGGCAGTGGAGGGGTGCTGCTTACTGGTTTGCTCCTGTGGCCTGCTGAGCCTGGCTTTCTTACAGCCCCCAGGACCCCCAGCCTGGCGGGGGGGTCACTGCTCACACTGACAAATCATCAATCAAGAAAATGGAGCACAGGCTTGTGCATGGGCCAATATGGTAAGGGCATTTTTTTCAGTTGGAGTTTCTTCTCAAATGATTCTGGCTTATGTCAGTGGCTATAAAACTAGCCAGCCCAGGGGATGAAGATGGTGGGGCTCTCTCATGGACTAGCCTAGCTTGGTGAGCTCCAGGCCAAAGAGAAACTCTAATAAAAACAAGGTAGATAGTGACTGAAAAACCTCAAGCAAGATTGTCCTTTGTTGTCTGACCTCCACAGTCAATTATTCCTGCACGCACGCACACACACACACACACACACACACACACACACACACACACACCCTCCCTCACCCTCACTTGGTCATAAGGTAAAATCTACTGGATTTAGGTGACTGGCTTTGTTTAAGATGGGGGTTTTTTTGCACCTGTACTCAAAAGGGAGATAGTTGTATAGTTTTCTTATATCTGTGATTTTTCTTCATGAATCATAGTTAGATTAGCCTCAGAGAATATATTGCTATTTTCCTCATGTTTTTGGAAGAATTTGTGAAAATTTTTTAGTCATTAGGGATCAAATCCAAGCCTGTAGGTCTTAGGAAAGTACTTTTCCACCAACCTCCCACCCCAGCCACAGTGTGATGTTTTATATGCATATATATTTGAAAATATTACCATAATCACACTAACATAGGCAGCACTGTATTTAAGATTTTTGTGAGGCAAAATACTTCAGACCAATTGATTCTCTTAGTAAATTTCAAATGTAGCATTATGCTATACAAATACAATCCAGTCACCACATCATCCACTAGATCCCAGGATTCACGCATCTGCTGGAGGAGCCTTTCCCCTTTGCTCAGCATCTCTCATGCTCCCTCACCCCCAGCTTCTGATAACCACCATCATGCTCTTGTCTCCAGTGAGGTCAACATTTTCAGATTCCACATAAAGTGGGAATGTGCAGTGTTGGTTCTTTCTCTGTCTGGCTCATTTCACTTAACATCGTCTCTCCTTTTTCTTTAAGGCTAAATAACATCTCCAGTGTGTCCCTTTCTTTGGTGTGTGTGTGTGTGTGTGTGTGTGTGTGTGTGTGTGTGTGTGTGTGTTTAAAAATGTCTGGGGGGGCTCCACTTTTCTGAGGAGAAGGGGTAAGAGGGACGAGAGTGGGAGGGTGGGACCAGGTGGCGAGGAGGGAGGGGGGTGTGATTGGGATGTAAATGAATAAACAAGTTTAATAAATAAAAACAAAATTGTCTAGTGATGAGCAGGTTGATTCCTATCTTGGCCATTGTTATAATGCTGCAGTGAATGTGCAGCTGTGTATCTCTTCAAAGACACTGACTTCCGTACCAGCTCTTGGAGGCAGAGGCAGGAGGATCTCTGTGAGTTCAATACCATTGTGGTCTATATAGCAAGTTCCAGACCAGCCAGGACTACATAGTGAGACCCTGTCTCAAGGACTGACCTCCTTTACTTTGTGTGTGTTCTGATGTAGGATTTCTTTGTTTGCTCTTTAGAAATACTCGTATTGTTTTCCATAATGAGGGACCAGTTTACATTCCTGGCAGCAGTGTACAAGGTCCTGTATTGTAGGAAGTTCACAATAACTTAGTATTTGAATATCTTCAGATTTTCATCTTCTTGAGTTTGAGTAGTTTGTATCCCTCTAAGCTAATTTGTTGGCATACAATGGTTTCCTAGCACAGTTTCATTAACACAGTCAATGTTTTGTTTCACTAGTGTCTACACTTACTGTGTGTGTATTTTAGAACATTAAACGTTAATAGATCTGTTCTCTGTGAGTGAGGAGGGAGCTGGGGGACCGCTTCCCCTCGGTGTATGACCTCAGGTGTCCTCACCGTCCACCTGGGACGGACCTCTTGTTGCTTGGCTGTGCACATCAGGCTAGCCAGCTTCCTGGGATTCATGTGTCCCTCCCCCCAGCTCGCTGTAGGCTCACTTGGGTTGTGATGTGCACGATCATGTCTAGCTTTCCATGGGTCTACAGATTCAAACTCAGGTCCTTGCTACACTGTGCAGAAAGCGCTTTCCCCGTTGGGCAGTCTCTGCAGCTTCTACCCCCCCCCCTTTGGAGACAAAGTCAGTGTAGCACTGGCTATCCTGGAACATGCTATGTGGACCACACAAGGGGTCCTCCTGCCTCTGCCTCCCACAGGTGCTGAGATACTAGGTATGAATCCCCATACCTGGGCTTGTTCTTAGTTCTCAAAAGAGTTTGTTTTATTTTGTTTTTTGAACTTAATATGTTCTGGAACTTATGTAGACCAGGCTGGTCTCGAACTCACAATGATCTGCCTGCCACTGCTTCTGCCTCTCAAGTGCTGGGATTAAAGGTATGCACCACCATACCTGGCTAACAAAAGATTTCTGTAACCTAGAATCATTCTCATGCAAACGTCTTTTGAGGCCTTTTTTTTTTTTTTCCTTTGAAATCATTTGAAAGTACTGCATTTCCCTTTAGGTTGTACAAGAGTATGAAAGAGTAATTATATTCCGACTGGGACATCTGCTTCCTGGAAGAGCCAAAGGTCCTGGTAAGAATTGCCTAACATGCTTTTGAAATTTTTATCCCACCCCCAAAGTTAATGATTTCTTTAATCCACACATAGTTATTATCTATATATTTGATTATATGAAGTTATTTGATTTAATATATCTGTATTTCAATGTTAATTATAGGTTGCCATGAATTCCTCAGAAAGCATTACTAATAGATCACAGGTGGCCAAGAGGAAGGACCAGTGGAAAGACCCCCACCCTAGGGCTATCCTAGGGGGAACTGCAAGTCAGCTAAGGATTGGTCTGAGTACAGTGTGTGTATAGTCAGAATCCTTCTCAGAGAAAATCTGAGCTAGTTGATCAGATTAAATCATGGAGGTCAAGCAAAATCCAGCATCTGATAACAAATGTTTTCAGTTGGCAGAAGAGGCCTAGACTGAATCCTTCTAGCATTGCAGACAGTGAACTATCAGGGACCAGAGGAATAAGGCGTGCTCTCTGCTTGCTAGGACCTGAAGCTCCAGAGGTTGTCTAACCAGACTCAAGGCATATAGATAGAAGAATGGTGAGTCTGCGGAGTCTAGTAGTTTAGATTTAGAGATATAAGACATCCAAGAAGACAGAAGAAAGAGTGAAATCCCACTGTACGAATACTGAGAAGGTCTGAGTTCTCAGCCATGCCTGCAAGAACAAGTTAAAAATGGAGACCAGTCTAGGAGACATATCAGAGATTCAAGATTTAGAATCCAATATACAAGTCCACATAATATAGAACCAGACTCTAGAGTTCCAGGATATATTACATCTTGCCAATGGCCCTGGTTTTCAGGAACCATCTCTGTTGGGACAAGAAAAGGTTCTTGCTGGCTGCTCCCACACACATCCTTGGCACTATGAGGTGGCGCTAGTTTCCACAAAGTTGTGGCTCTTGAAGGGCCCCTGTCTTAGTCACTGTTCTATTGCTGTGAATAGACACCATTACCAAGGCAACTCTCATAAAAGACAGCATTTAGTTGGAGGCTTGATTACAGTTTTAGAGGCTTAGTCTGTTATCATCATGGTGGGGAGCATGGTAGCATGCAGGCAGATACTGGAGCAGTAGCTAAGAGTCACATCCTGAACTATAGGCAGAGAGAGAGAGAGGCTGACAGACTGAGCGGGTCTTGACATGGACTTTTGAAACCTCAAAGCCCACCCCCAGTGACACATTTCTAATCTTTTCAAATAGTGCCACTCCCCAGTGACTAAGCATTCAAATATATGAGCCTAGGGGACCATTCTTATACAAACCACCATAGTCCTAAGTCATCTAAGGGGCTTTAGGAACCGTTCAGCTAACCAGTCTATAGGTACTGAATATTTAGCACGTGTGCTACCTGGGGTAAAGGACTAACTAGCCAACACAAAGCTGCTGTCTGGTGATCCTGGGACTCACATTTTCAGAAGTAACACACAGAGGTTGTCAGCTCTAAGTCAGTGCACCAGTCATTCACAGACTAAAGCAGTTTTACACTGTACCTAAAAGGCTCTAAGACACATCAAGGTTAACATTCATGCACACACTTACAGAGCTTGAGTCTAGTGGAGAGACAGATCTATGAGATGATGGGATAGTCAATATGAGGCCCAAAGTGGCCAGGTGGTCTGGTTTTCTGGAATAATCTCTCTTTATACCTGATATGCTCAACTTAGTTTTAGTAATGTACCCTGCCTTTGCCTTCAAAAGCGTCCCCAGTTGAATAATGAGTTCCATGACAGTACTGCAGGTACAGTGATGCTACTCAGTGGTCTGTGGGTGGTAGAAGTGCAGCCTCACTCTGAAGAGACAATCTCTAGCAGTCTTCAGACCTGCTGTTCACCTGTTTCTTTGCTCACAACCTCTTATAGGCTTGTTCTTTTTTTTGCCCTGCCTGGATACCTACCACAAGGTTGACCTCCGTCTTCAGACCTTGGAGATACCTTTCCATGAGGTAAGCTACATATATACATATATACATATACATATACATATACACATATAGTTGCGTTCTATTGACATTTCCATGGTCTACCATCCAACTCAATCCCAAGGCAAAGTGACTATGCTCAAAAGTAGGAAAGAAGAGAAGCAGACTTAAAAGCATAATCATCAAAGTAGATAATCAACAGAGTAAAAGGTAGTTTGTGTAATGGAAAAACATATTTTCAAATCATTTATAAGATTTTAATATATAGGCTATAGAAGAGTTCATTCAGGTCAACAAAAACAACAAAAGCCATAACCTAATTTTAAAAATGGACAAAGGAATTTATAATAGTTAATCTGTGTATTAACTAGGCTAGGCTAGACCTCTGCTATTTGGCCTATACTTAGTTAAACAAACCTGAATGTTTTTATGCAGGTATTTGGGGCATTAGATTAATATTTAAAAACTAGCAAACTTTTAATAAAGCAGTTTATCCTTGGTAATGTGGGTGAGATTCATTCAATTAGTTAGACCTTTTAAAGAAATGTCTTTGGCTTGAGGGGGAAGAAGTTTTCTTCTAGAGGCAATATAAATGCTTTCCTCAGTCTCCAGACTCAAAATTTTGGCCTTATCAACTTCCATAATCTCATGACCTGATCCTTTAAAAATAATCTAGCTCTATGCACACTCACTCTCTCTCTCTCTCTCTCTCTCTCTCACACACACACACACACAACACATACACACACACACACACAGTACTGGTTTCATTGTTCTGGAGAACACAGACTAACACGGGCTAAATTAGACATCTTTCTGAAGAATGTATATGAAAAACTTGAAGATACCCACATGGCCAATGAACACATTAAAATATGCTCAACATCACTAATCATTAGGGATATGCAAATCATTTTACCCCTATTAGGAAGGCTGCCATTAAGAATATATAACAGGGGCTGGAGAGATAGCTCAGCCATGAAAGGATAGGCTCACAACCAAAAGGAAAATATGACAGAGGGGGAAGAGAAGGTGACAAATACTGAAGAGAACATGGAGAAACTGGAATCCATCCGCTGCAGGCGGGATGTTAGATGGTGCCGGCACGCAGGTGGGATGAATGGTGGTGCCACACTGTAGGACGCAGTCACCCAGCAAGATGACTTCTCCAAAACTTAAAAATAAAATTTCTATAAGCTACAAGTTTCCAAGAATTGAAAAGATCTTGAGAAATTATTTTTTCTCCATGTTCATAGTAAGAAAAAGTAGAAACAGGGACAGGAGAGATGACTTAATAGAACACCTGCTACTCTTACAGAGGACCAGAGTTCAGCTCCTAGCACCTGAGCTGCCCATAACTCCAGCTCCCAGTGATCCAGTGCACTCTCTGGCCTCTGTGGGCCCCCACATACATGTGACATACACTCACAGAGAAACACACTCATTCACACAGATACACATAGACACACAGATACACTCACACCGATATACATACACAGACACAAAAACACACAGAGAGACATACACACACTCACACAGATACACATGCACATAAAAATAAAAACAAATCTTTTAAAAGTAGAAGCAGGAATTGGAGAGAGCAATGACTACTCTTCCAGAGAACCCAGGTTCAATTGCCAGCACCTACAGGATGGCTTAAAACCATGTTACTCTAGTTCAAGGAAATCTAACACCCACTTCTGACCTCCAAGGGCACTCTACATAAGTGGTATATACACATACATGTAGAAAAAATACCCATGCATATCCAATAATAAATTTTAAAGATTAAAAGAAATGTCAAAAGAAAATGTAACTAGAAGCAGCCAGATGTCCACTGATAGCCGAGTAGATGATCACAGTGTGGTATGTATCCTACAGTTAGATACTGTTCATCCTTTAAGAGGAAATAAATTCTGACATATTTTATATAACATGGATGAACCTTGGGACATTGTGCTAAGCGGGAATGTCAATCACAAAATCCAAGTAGTCTTGCGATCTGCATCCAGTAAGTACCTAGAGTAGCCCATCCACACAGACAGAAAGGATGCTGGTTACTGGGGCTCTGGGAGAGTGGGTGGGCAATGATGATTTGATTTCACTTTTGTGAGATAAATAGCATCCTAGAGGTTGATTGAATCACTAAACTCTACACTAAGGGTGGTATTTATATTGACTGAATTTAGACTAGAGGTAGCATATTTTATGTTATACATTTTACCACAATTTAAAAATTTGGAAAATGCAAAGCAAAGGCAACATCCCTATTTCTCTACCAGAGACAAGGGTTTAAAAGCCTTTTCCAAGTGCCTCCCACCTTGTACAAAATTCTTTCCCATTCTTTCTTTTGGTAAATGTAAATGGTTTCCCTTCAAAATGCTTACTTTTCCTCCTTACCTCTTTCTCTTCCTCCAAGAGGCAAGCATTGTTCTGACTCTTTAGCATGCTCGATAAAATCTTCATGCATTAAAAAAAAAATTAATTTTGAATAAAGAATCAGTCTCCTGTTACTCTTTCGTTTTCCCCTACTATAACTTTACTCCTAGAAATACATTTAGTTTCTCTCCCACATAGGAAGGAATCCAGCCTGCATTCAAACTTTTCTTCCATTTAGGTGGTAACGAAAGATATGTTTATAATGGAGATAGATGCTGTCTGCTACTACCGCATGGAAAACGCCTCTCTTCTTCTAAGCAGTCTTGCTCATGTGTCCAAAGCCATCCAGTTCCTGGTGCAAACCACCATGAAGCGCCTCCTGGCGCATAGATCCCTCACTGAAATTCTTCTGGAAAGAAAGAGCATTGCCCAAGATGTAAAGGTACCATGATGAGTGTAATAATGAATTGGTCATTTGTTAAATTTGCCATGTGCAAGGCATTTGGCCATTCAAGATGTTATTCATTGGGGAGCAGTCAGTCAGTAACATCATTAGCTTGGGAGACAGATTTTGCTTTCCCCCCTTCCCTAAGGTCACTCCCCAGTGACCTTCAGCACACTGTGAAATATCAGCATGGTATTTGAAGTCGCCATAGGTGGGAAGGGTAGGGCTGGTGGGGGTGAGCAGGATGGTTGATGACAATGTACTGAGATGAGGAGGCATGGTTCCCAGGTACTGAATCTAGCTGGGGAGATAAGCATAGTGTGCCCAAAGGTGAGTAATGGTAAATCCAAGTAAGACTTTAAGAGACCAGATATCATGCACCCTTTCATGATTGACTACCCAATTGTTCATGCTTATAGATTTGGATTAGAGGAGGGAATGAAAGTAGAAACTGCCGCTGGAGAAATAGCTCGGGGGTCAAAGTGCTTGATGTGCAAGTATGAGGCCGTGAGTCTGGACCCCAGCACACATGTAAAGAGCCGGTGTGACAGTGCCGCCCAGCATGGGAAGGCAGAGCCAGGGAGATCTGGGGGCTCTCTGGTCAAATAGTCTAGTCAGCTCATGGGTTTCCAGTTCAATGGGAGACCCTAGCTCAGGAAATAAGGTGGAGAAAAATAGAGAAAGACACTCACCTTAGGCTTTCGAACTCTCAAACGTGGGCGCGCGCACATGCACACACACACACCTCAAAATGAAAAAGGAAAATCCTTTCTAAGCAGTCCTGCTGCGTCCCCAGGCAGTTAGCTCTGCAGTCTTGTCCACAGCCTGGCTAGATGTCTCAGTTACCAACAAGAGCTTATTAAGACAGAGGGCAAAGCAGGATTGCAGGCAGCCGAGCAATCAGGTGGCAGTTACCACCAGGAACTCAGCCCAGCACAGAAGTCATGGGGACATCAAAAGTGGGTTGGGAGGTGCAATGGGGGAACGACAAGAACCAAACGCTCTGACCATGGCTATTTTGTAGAACCTGAGAAAACAAAATGGCAGTGTTCCAAGGTTTGTGGCAGGTCTGGGGTGTTGCTGAGACCTAGTATTCATATCTTGAGGACAAGTGAAGGAGCTGGAAAGACAGAGAAGCTGGAAAGGGAAAAAGATGAGAGGCATGCAGGAGCTCCTACACTGACATTTGAACAGCATGCTCCCCACTGTTCCCTTCAGCCTCTTCCTTGTCCATCCCTCTCCTCTGAGGGATAAAGGCCAGGCCACTGATGTCCAAGCTGCCTTCATTACATCACCTTCTCTTCTAGAGTCAAATCCTCCCCCAGATGAACACACTCATGATTATGTCCTTCAGGAACCTGTGATTTAAGCACATCCTAAAAATGCTCTGGGCAGCAGTCACAGTTCCTAGGGGACCATCTTTGGGGGCCATTATTCAGGACCCTATATCATCTCTAGATCCACAGTGACTATTTAAGAGCACTGTGAAAATTAAATATCTCTGTCCCAGACATGACATTGAAAAGTGGTGTCCTATGAAAGGACATGCTCCATGGACAGAACAGTGGCCCTGGCACACAGGAGGGCTTCTCCTACCTGGAGGAGGCAGGCCTCACCCTAATCTCAACTCTTTCCTCCATAGGTTGCCTTGGATTCAGTGACCTGTATTTGGGGGATCAAAGTGGAGAGGACTGAAATGTAGGTAGGAAAGTAACCAGCAAGAATTATATTTGAAAATATATCTCAAAAACTGTAGTCCCATGGATACTAGAGAAAAATGACCCAACATCTCATAGCCAAGATGCAATTCTACAACATCTAAGAAAACTGTCCTTGTGGTTTCCAATTATGCATTAAGAGGTCTTTTTACATAAAGCTTAGCATTTTTATCATGTTTTGGCATTAGCTTAGTGGGTTTAGCCTCAAGTGTCTAACTTCACATTTCCATCGCCCTCCAAAACCCACAAGCAAGAACCCCCAGTCCCTTCACCTCAGCCCTAAGCTCTCTTTCAGTGGGTGTGCCCATTTTCTGGGCATTTCACAGACATGGAATCACAGAATAAAGGCTTTTCTGCCTGGTTTTCTTTCACTTAGCCTAATTTTTCAAGGTTCATCCATGGGGTAGTATGCATCAGTATTTCATTACATTTTACAAGTCAAATAATACTCCATTGTATGATGACATAAAATTTTGTCGTTACATTCCTTAATGTAAAAACAACTTTGGGGCTGTTAATGAAAAGTGCTATAATGAAATTTTTTTAATTCTGAATACTAGAATTGTTCTTATTTGTTCATTCTTCTCCTCAAAATCAGTTTTCTTTTATACTTAGATGGATAATTCTGATCTTTGTTTTTAGTTGTATGGATCTTCAAAGTTGTTTTTCATTATTAAAATTCAACAGCTTGGAGCTACACGAAATTTTAAGTGAGAAAAAATGAGAACAGATTGTGAACATAAAATATGGCCCACAGTGTTAGAATATCACAGCCCCATGCAGCCTCCACGTAGCTATACCTGCACTTATGGCGCTGGCCCCAGATGTGGTCTTCCCTGCTTATATTCCACCTCAGAACTGTAAAACAGCTCTATCTGCCCATCCAGAATTTGCTGTTCAGAGCTGGAGAGATGCCTCAGTGGTTTAGAGAACTGTCTGTTTTTCCAGAAGGCCTGGGTTCAATTCTCAGCACCCACCAGTCAGCTCACAACTGTCTGTAACTCCAGTTATCTTCTTCTGGCCTCCATGGCTAATAGGCATGTATGTTGTGCACAGACATACATGTAGGCAAAATACCCACATACATAGAATATGTAGGTTCTATTTGTGAAACAACAGTAGACAAAGGCAAGTCTGTGAGAACGCTGTGGCTGCTAAGGTCATGGCACACATCTGTGTAACTGTCTTCTTTCTCAGTAAGGATGTGAGGCTGCCGGCTGGGCTTCAGCACTCTCTGGCTGTGGAAGCTGAGGCACAGAGACAGGCCAAAGTACGGGTGAGCCATTCCTGAGCACTTCATCCTCCTGGCCAAACCCTTGAAGAGCATCTGGGAACCCAGGGGTCCACATCGGTCCAGGAACTGAGCAGAATCCCGCTGTGTCCTCACCACTGTTGACAGTGTGTTCACAGGACTCACCTCAGCCACTCCCCAAAGTTCCTGCTAACATGCCCACTCCTCTTCTGCTTTTACCCTCCCTCCTTGAAATCATCCCACACCATCCTTCCCCTCCTGTGTTGCATTTTCCGTAGATAACCGAGGCCCTGACATCCTGAGGATAATAAAAGGATGGAGGGAGGCAGATTCCTCTCAAATAACTGAGTGGGTGAAGAAAAAGACTCAAATCACACAGAATGAGCAACAACAAAAACTCTTAAGGAAGGAGGGAGTGAGGAGGCCTTTGAGGCGCAGTTGCATCTAGGTCTCTGAATCAGTTGTCTGTGGCCAACATTAGGTAGCATCTGTGAGATGGGGGCCAAGAGCCTTCTTTTCTGAACTTTTTGACCAAGGTAGGACTCTAACCAACTTGTCCTCCATTTGGCAAGCAAAATCCTCCTAAGTTTTTGAGCCCACCATACATATATTAACAGTATCCCTAAGCTCCATCTATACTGTCATGACCTATAACTAAATCCACCTTACATTTTGATTGCTAGTTTAATCTGTTTGCCCATGCCTCATAATCTGTCAGGGAGAGGCTGAGTGTAATGCCCCAAGTTTAACCATGCCTGCCCCTGAGTAGACGTGTGGAGCTTGCTTTCTGGGCCACACCGAACGACAAGCACTTAAAGCCCTCATGAAATGAAGAAGCATGATCACGTTGCTTTTCTTTGCATATGTTCTGTAGATGATCGCTGCAGAAGGGGAAAAGGCTGCTTCTGAGTCCCTGAGGATGGCAGCTGAGATTCTGTCGGGCACCCCGGCTGCTGTTCAGCTTCGATACCTGCACACTCTTCAGTCATTGTCCACAGAGAAGCCCTCCACTGTGGTTTTGCCTTTACCATTTGACATGCTAAACCTTCTGTCTCCTCCTAGCAGCAGAGCACAAGGAAGCATCAACTACCCAAATTCTTCCAAACCTGTTGAACCACTAAATCCCAAAAAGAAGGACTCTCCTATGTTATAGGGGTGAATTGGCAAAAAGCAATGCTAATCTGCCATATAAAGCCATATCCCTGAGTGAGGTATTCAGTCCTCCTTGCCCTTGTTTGGTTGCCAAATAGGATGACTTTTGAATGTATGATGTCACAAGATGGCCACATGGATAAGAACACAGTGAAATGACAATGGCAGAGAAGGTGTCTAACGACAGGTGGATTATCTCATAGTAACTGCAGGAAGGAGATTTAGAATTGTGAATCTACACGTGGTTCGATTTTGATTTCTCAAGACTTAGTTCAAATATCCTCCACTTCGTGTCACCTGGCTTCTTCAACAAGGGGTCTGCAGATCCTGCAGCCCCTCTGTGAACACCTACAGGCCTCTCTCCTTTCGGCATTCTTCCAGACTCCCACTAAGCACTACTGCTGGCTTGTAACTTTTCCAGCCTAAAATTCCAAACTCTCGCAAAATATATTGTCCAAAGGTGTAAAAGCCTCTTAGCCAGACTTGTCACGATAACAATCCCACTTCCTCAGAACCAGTTCTGTTCTAGTTTCATTTCTGTTTCATGATAAAAATGTTCCAGCAACAAGAAACTTAAAAGGAGAAAAAATTTATTTTAGCTCACATTTCCAGGTTATAGTCCATCACCGTAGGGAGTTAAGGCGGGATCTTGAAGCAACTTAGTCACAGCATATGTGGAAATGCAGGCAGGAACCTAAAACAACTGGTCACATCATAGTCAAGTGCGGAAAGAAATTACTACATGATGCTTAGTTGCTTGAGTTCAGCTCAGTTTATCTACTCCTCCAGTTCAGGGCTCCAGGTCGCCTACCATGGGCTGGGTCTTCCCACAGTGATTAACTTGAAACAATCCCTTACAGACATGCCCACAGGACAAACTACTGTCGATCATCCATCATCAATCTCTTCTGGGGTTATTCTAGGTTATTATATCAAGTTAGCAAACAAAACTGACCATCACATCGACATGGCAATGCCCTGTCTCCAAGCCAACAACAAATAAGTCACTTGTGCCAGCACTTGAAAAAGGAAAGCCTAGACCAGCGGTTCTCAACCTTCCTAATGCTCTGACCCTTTAGAGTTCCTAAATTTGCGGTGACCCCCAACCATAAAATTATTTTCATTGGTACTTTATAATTAACTTTGCTACTGTTATGGATCATAATATAAATATCTATATTTTCGGATGGTCTCAGGTGACCCCTGTGAAAGGAGTTGACAACTGCTGGCCTAGAGGATATAGATAAATGATTATTATATATGGTTACCTAATCCTAATGTCTTCTAACTTTGAGTCCTGCTTGTGTTCTGTTTATGAAATTTGTTCCAAGCACAGGCATAGTTGAGAAAATTTCAAATAAAGTACTAACTGCTTGTTGTCATGTACAATATATTTCAGTGTATACAACTGTGTGCTAGAGAATTCTCTTATTGGTAAGAAATTATTCTGATAACCAACCAGGGACAGGTGTCAGGATGTTATCCTTTATGTAATACAGATTTTATGGATATAAGAGTTACTACTGACAACAGAGAATGATAGAATAGATGTGGGCACTTTCATACTGTCTTGTAAAGGCACACCTGAATGCAATATTGTAGAAAATAATCGTCACATACATAGTATTTATAGCTTAGTTTACTAACTGCTAATGGTTTGTTCCCAGTTAGACACCCTTCATGGCCCAGGTGCTCCTTGGAGGAGAACACTGTTGATACCAACAGAAATTAACTTGACTTAGAGTTTCAAGAAGTGTATGAGCCCAAACCTACCGAATGAGGGGGAAATAAAAGGAATGATAACAAGAGAAACTTAGACATCAGTCACACATCTCAAAAATGTGGCTGACCTCCTGCCCTGAGTCTAGCATGACTGGCTGACTGCCTTTGTCCCCACCATCTCCACTTCTCCCTCTATAAGCTGTTGGAGATCAGACTGAAGATGGGTCTGAGGTATTAAACTGCTATCGTCTCAGATTGCTTGCTCTGTGAATAAAGTAGGATTTTATGATTCAGCTCTTGTTTCTGCATTGACTTCTGTGACAAGCAACATGAACCAACTTCCATTTCCCCTGGGAAATGGTGAATTATGGAAGGGAAGGGTAAGCCTAGCTGGAGGAAGTAGATAGATGAGGTCATGCCTTTGAAGGCTGTATTTTGTCAATGGTCCCTTCTAGTTACTCTCTGCCCCCTGCTTACCATGAGATGAGCGGTGTCTACCATATGCACCCCCACCATCACCACAATACTCTGCCTCACCTTGAGCCGAAATAGACCAGCCCGCCCTGAACTGAAACCAGGAGCCAACAAACTATCTTCCTGTTAAGTCATTTTCCTCAATTCTTTATCATAGCCACAGGACAGCCAATCAGTTTCTTCTCTGCTAGAGATGAGGTCACATGGCTATCTCTGCCCCTCTGACTGCCTTTACACATGTGGCCTCAACAGCTTGATGCCAGGCATGAACAACAAAGAGTTCCTCCTTCAACATTGCTTGAGAGACCTAAGAAAGTACAGCAAGGTCTGAAAGACTGTAAAACTTTCCACAAAACATCCGTCTTGCTAACTTTAGCTGTCAACTTTACATCCTAGAGTTAGCCAAGAAGGGAGTCTAAACTGAGGGGTTGCTCAGATCAGATTGGCCTGTGTGTATGTCTGGGGGTGGTGGTGGAATTGATGCTCAGTCACTGTGGGCAGCACTATTCCCTGGGTAGGGAGTACCTCCCTATATAAGAAAGCAAGCTACACATAAGTCAGTGAGCAAGCCAGCAAGCACCATTCCTCCATGGTTTCTCCTTCAAGCAAGAACTAGTTTCTGTCAGTGATGGACTCTGAAATGGAGTGTAAGCTAGAATTAGCCCTACTTCACCATCCCCTACTCAAGTTGATTTTGGTCAGTGTTTTATCACAACAGAAAGGAAACTAGAACAGAATCCTTGGTATAGCCATGATGGGGCCTTTGACCATGAGACAGATTTTCCATCTCTGGGGAATCTGGGACTTTGGCAGAATAAGGCAAAGATGAAAGAAACTGAAAGGAGTTTGTTTCATAGTAACACTGCAGTGTTGCAAGACAACAAGGTGGTAAGAATCATTACACCAGTGATCTTTCAAAGGTGCTTGGTCACTGTCTACTCCCAGCCCAGTTTTCAAAGATTTCAATTCCCTGAGCCCTCCCAAATCCTCCTGATAAATGAGTCTGCAAACATGGGTTTCTGTGGCCTACAACCAACTAATAAAGTTCTGGATGCCAAACATGCCATTGTAATCAGGTTAGCGGTAGACACAGCACCTTCTGCCTGGTGGTGTTGATAGGATCTGACACAATTGGAGGGACAAGCCTCTTGTATTCACAGATGAAATCTAGCAGTTCGCATGGGAATGCCCATTCATTCCTATGTGGTAGAAATTAAAAATTATTCCACAATCATGTAAAACTAAAAATCCCCCAGATTTGCCAGTGTCATCGAGGGATGTCTTTTGGAAACAGGAAAGCAGGGCTTTGACCAAGCAGGTGGAAGCTTTAGCGATGGCTGTCAGTTGGGTCATGAACACACCTGGCTGTCCGAAGGATTTAATATTTTCTTTCCTGTGAGCACAAAGTATTATTGATTCTGTCCAGTAGGCATAGGTAACTAAGCCTACTAATTGAACCCACCCCTCAAGCCTGCCTGGGGATTCAATGTAAATAAGGCTGGGACCCTGGAGTCAGTGGGTTTCCCTGGCTGAAAGGTCAGGCAAAGATCTAAAATTCTAGGAGAGAAGGCCAAAGGAACACCAGCTATGTAGAACTAAAACAAATGCAGCAAGCTTCCCGGTTACAGTGGAGCCAGAGAGACACACGGACCAAGCGGGCCAGATGCAGAGTAGGAAGGAGGCCTACAGAGTGACAGCCACAACGTCTGTCTGTCACTCACAGCTTTACTTTTACAGAGCATACCATCTCCCGTGCCTGTACAGAGTCAGGGACACAAGAAGAGCAGGTGAATGAGGCCGTCAAAGAAAGAAAACAGATTCTGGTGAGTCTGCAGCAAGACAGAGCTGTGCTAAGGAAACCATGGGGGCCACGGCTGGGCAGTTCAGACAAATCCAGCCAGCTGGGGAAGCTGGTACCGATTGGCTCTTTGGGCTTAGGATGGGTAACCACCCGGGACTTAGTCCCACTTTCTGAGAAATGGGACTACAGTATCCCCCCTACCTGTTTAAAGGACTATTACAAAGATAAGAGAGAGTATGAGAGTGCCTGACACCAATCTGTGGATCTGTGGCTGAAATCTGAGCAGAGGAGCAGGATCCCCTCTGCTGAGTCAAAGCACAAAGCCTCTCATTCCTTCTTTCCTGCGCTGAGCCCACAGCATCATCTTCTTCAGGGAAGTGAACGCTTTTGACGGTGCTCTCGGAAATTGACTGAAGAGGCCAGCATAATTTCTCTTAAGCTGTTTTTAATGTGGCAAGTATACTCATGTACTGACTCCGTATGGCCTCTGCCATGCTTGAAAGTGAAACGTTCATGACTTGGATGGTGTGGCTTTTCTAACAGCTGTTGCTAAGAGAGTCCATCCATGCGAGCTGCGTGCCAACTCCACAGCTCAACAATACCTATGCAGGTTCTGCTGCACAGCCACTGTGAACCTCAGTCTCTAGGGAGTCTTTTTGGGTTTGCTCTTAGGTTTACCCCGTCCTGCAGGTTTAGCAGGGTGATCATCCTTGTACTGTGGTACTAAAACGACAAAAAGACAATTTTTTTACCATATTGTTAGTGACTGAGGTCTCATGTACACTAAAGGCTATTAACTTTAAAAAACGGTTTTTAAATTTCATTTCGCCTGAGTAAGTCTAATGTAGCTAATGACTCTAAATTGGTTATCAAATTCAGAATGTTTCCCGACTTTTATGTGTGATTTCTAGGTCCTGGGATAAGGGGTTATACTGCTCGTAAGAAAGGAGAGAGCACTGGAGCAGAGCTAGTCTTCAGCACGTTGCTTGTTCATTCCTGCGTCCTCTGCTGTCTCCTCCCCCCATCTCTAGCCTCTTAAACACATATATGAGATGCAGCTCTGGGATGGGGACAGAGCTGTTCATCAAGTCTGCCCTCACTAGCATGGACATTAAAAGGTGACTAAATGTGAGGGGAAGGTGACAGAGACTGTCTGAACAAGCCTGGGAGGGTGGGTGTCATCTCTCCCTCACAATTTTTCATCTTTGTTTGCATGCTGTATTGCGTGTGTGTGTGTGTGTGTGTGCGTGTGTGTGTGTGTGTGCGCGCGCGCGCCTGTACATAGGGAAGTGTATTGCTATGGTATAGATGTGGAAGTGAGAAGACAGCACTGTGGAAGGTGTTCTGTCTCTCTACCTTAATATGGGTTCTAGGGATTGAAATTAGGTCATCAGTCTTGTGCCTAAGTGTTTTTAGACACTAAGCCATCTTGCCAGCCATATATATATATATATTTTAAGATGGTATCTTGCTTTTGTCCAGACTGGTATCAAATTCATGAGATGAAAGCAATGCTCTAGCCTCAGCCTCCTGCGTGTCTGGGACTACAGGTCCACACCACAATGCCCATACAGTTCCTTCAGAATGAAGTTATTAGATAACAATAAATACAAGCTTCACAGGAATGGCTGCATGTGCTATCAGACTTAAATGCTTTCCTCACCAGTATCTTTACAGAATTCTGTTGCTCCCTCCATGTGTGTGCCTGTGTATGTTGTATACAAGCACGTGCAGTGTATGTACTGTGTGGTGCGTGCATGTGTAAGTGGTGTGTGCATGCGTGTGTGTGTGTGTGTGTGTGTGTGTGTGTGTATGGTACATTCATGGGGGGGGGGGTCACCTGTGCATGTGTGAAGGCCAGACAGTGATATCAGGTATCATCCTCCATCTTTCCCTTTTAAAATGTTATTAGTATGTGTTTGTGTGTGCACGAATACACACGTGGCAGAGTACGTACACATGTATTGTGTACGTGTGGCACTTCTCCGCAGCAAATGAGTAAGTGTAAAATATGCTCTTTTAAAATATTTGTGGTGCTGTCAAGTTTTCATCATAAAAATGCAAAAGCAAGTCTCACCTTTCTTTGCAGTTTTTGGGGACCTTTTCACTTCCTTTTGTACCTCTCCTGAGGTCCCCTCCTTTTGTTCAGAATTGTCCTCATCATCATTCCCTTCAGTTTCCTCCCCCCTGGAGCTTGACCCCCTTTTGACTTTCTTGGACATTTCTTCCAGTTCCTTCTCCAGTTCATTGTTTCTTATGAGGGTGTAATGCAGCTTCTCGTTCACCCCTTCAAACCTCTCCTCTGCGTCTCTGGCTCTCTTGTCAGTCTCTCTGCGTGGATGAAGTACATGGAAACAACAGAACAGAGAGGGGTGAAAATGTATGCTTCCTTCATACAGAATCTCATGTGAAAACTGCATGAGAGAAGAGGAGCCTATCTGAAGAGTGCCAACATGAGAAGTGGGGGGGATCAGCAATTGAGTGGAGACTTGAAGGCCTAGGGGTTAGATGACAGCTACAATTACACTGTCACTTAGGAGGACAGCATAGTTCCTCTTTCTTAGTGAGATCAGACTTTGGGATATTGGAAATTCCCTATCAATAGCCAGAGAATCCTCATCAGTAGCTGATTTTAGCATCACATAATTGGTAGAACTCAACAAACTAAAGAAAATAATGTCCCTGCTTTTCTAACACCTCTAAAACCAGAGCTCCCAATCAAGAAAACCAGTTTGAGATCTGCTTTCTAACACGAGAGTACATGTTCAGTCTGGTGATAGGGCTCGGTGAATAAAAGCTCTTGTCGCCACGCCTGATGACCTGAGTCCAACCCCTAGACCCACATAGCAGGAGGAGAGAACTGACTTCTGGAAGCTGCCCTTTGACCTCCACATGCAACACAGAGAGAGACGCACACACATACGTGGAAGGAAAGTTCTGGTTTCTTTAAAAACTCGGCCATGTTACATAAATATGTTTTTGTTTTAATCCCAAGTGTGGGATTTTAGTTTGGGCTTGAGTTCGGTCACAGCTGATGATTGCCTCACATGGTCTTTGCCAGCTGGTAACAGCCTGCTTTGTGCAGCATGGAGGGGGGTGTGGGCTAGGACTCTGAGGGATAGAACTATGAGATCCCAGAGAGAGAAAAAGGATAGCATGTGGCATGTGGCAGTTTGGAGAGACCATGGTGCGGCAGCTTGGAAGAGACCGCTTGCTGCGTTTGCTGTTGACAGAGATTGGTAGAGCCCCCAAAGAACCTATTGACCCTAAACAGCCAGAGAAGTAAAGGGGTCTGTGCAAGCTCTCCCCACTAACCTTCTCTCTCCTACCTAGTGTTAGGGGGTTGGAAGGGAAAGTCTTTAAGGAGCCCCAAATAAAATAGTTTTAAAAATGAGCATCAACACATACACACACATAGACACAAACACACATAATACACATACACACAGACAGAAACCTACACAGAAATAACATACACACATACAAGCATACACACACATATACACACAAAGACACACACATATATAGACACACAGATACATACACATACATTGATGCACACATACACACATATACACAGACACAAACATACACATATAGACAAACAGATACAGACATAGACACACAGATACACACTTACACATACATGCACACAAAATAAATGTAACAAAATGTTAAATGTAGGGTATTTATCATATCTGTATGGCAGATTCTTCTCAGACTGGTCAGCCATCTTGACTGTATTGTCCTCCGAACCCTGGGTGACTTAACATTCTTTCTCAAGCACAATACTTTCTCTAGTTCCGTTCTTTTCCTAAGTCATCTCCTACAAATGCGCTGACTTGAATGGCTTTTCGTACCCATCCTGATATATGTACACGCTGCAAATATACATACCAGCTACCATCTCTACCATGGGCTAAGGAAAGATTTTCTTACCACAGCAGTGCAGTTCACTACGTCCAGCCAAGGCTTTTCAGATATTCATCCCTCCAGTGAGACCAAAACAAGCAGGACAAAGTAAGTTACGAATTGTGGCCTGCTTAGCCAAGCTTCTTGCCAACAGCGTTTATCCTCATACTATTGTGGTTCCTATACTTACTTTAGCTTTTCCTGCATATTGTCGATGACAGCCATTACTTCAACATACTTTGGCTCCAATATAGTGTGTTTAGCTGCGTCTCTCTGACAAAGAAAATATGTGAGGTGAATGACCTGAAAGTCCCAAAAGTTAGTAGTCTATGTCTTCAGGAATTGTCTAGAATATTCTTTTCTATTACTCGTATTTATCTAGTAGATGATTACTCACAACTGTAATACCAAATAGTCCACAGACATTGCCTGTGGTCAAAAAAGCACAGCAGATTTCAAATTAAAACTACAGGTAGATGTGAAAAACATTAGTGTAGGGGGGGGAAAGGTAGGAGAAACAGTAACAAAAGGAAATGTGTAAATGCTTAAAAAGTGAGAAGAGTAAACATGTTTCTCTAAGTTAAAGAAGGAAAACAATCCATAGTTAATTATTAATAATCCAAAGCTAATAATTTCACTGCCTATCTAGCTTTGCAAAATCCAGTAAAATTTTTACATTCCTTAGGAAATGTCATAATTGCTTGAAAGTGTAGCTCCTGCCAGGAAGGCAGAGAAAGTGTGGGGGCAGGGTCTGTACACTTAGATGCAGCAGGGCAGCTCAGCACTAGTCCCCGAACACCTTGTCTGGACTCGAGACCTCCTTCTGGCCTTCACACTCTTGTGCACGAGTGTGTGACAGAGATAAACATGAGGCACTACTTGTAAAAGTGCGCTTGGACTTTCCTTCCTAGGCCCATATGCTGTAGCTTTAAGACAGTCTCTTTCTGAGACAAGTCTATGTTTCGCTTTTGGGGCTCACTCTTCCCAGATTTCCTAGGGGCTTTGGACTAGACTAACATCTCTGGCCTGGAAGTACCTCTGAAAAGGTCTGGATCCAGGCCCAGTTGCCTATGGATACAGCTCTGAGCACCAAACTCCCTGCCAGATTTTGTGCCCTATCTGTTTTGGACACACTTTTCTGGAGCCATCTATTTTAAAGGCCCTTTCCTATTGTTGTTATCAAATGGGTAAATCAGTCACTGTTCTTAATATCTATACCTGGTGGATAGCATTATGGTAGGAAAATCCAGACAAATGAGAGGTGAGGTGAGAATGTCTGTCTTGGGTTGACAATGCTGCAGAGCTCAAATCTGTCTCCTGGTTGTCTTCCCAAGGGTGTTCACATATGATCCAGAAAAACCTGTTCTATGCCTATGGTTCTTTATGGACAGTCAGGACCCAAGAATGTAAGATGACCCTTATGTAGCCTGTTTTTAATGTGTTGCTTGCTGGTTAGAGTAGCTGAGCTACAACACAGCCCTATTCACACAGCTGAGCACCAGCATAGGGAGACAGCATAGCCCTACGATAGTGCCTGCTGAGTTGAAACATTCGGTATCCCCACTAGTTGGTCTGAAGTCTCAGAGTCTCAGAGTCTCAGCGTCTGACTGCTCTGTAATGAGATGTTGAAATGAGAGTAACCTTTCCCAGGGAGGAGAGGCAAGTCAGTACTGCTTAATGGGTCTGAAATGTCCCTCCAATGGCCATATGCTAAAGCCCTGGTTCCCAGCTGGTGGCAGGATGGGATGCGCTAGAAATTTCAGAAGCTGGGCTACTTGTGACATACCTTGAAGAGTATATTTTGGCCCCCTTTTCTCTTTTCTGACCCTCATCCTTCCCTCCCTTCTTCCCTCCTTTTCTTTCCTCTTCCACTTCTCCTCTCTTCCTTCTTTCCCTCTTCCCTCCTCTCCTCCTCTCTCCCTTTCCCTCTTCTGCCACTGAGGAGGGCAGCCCTGTACCACTGGATGCTCCTGCCACACTGTTTCACTCACTACAGCACTAGCACATTGGAACCAAGAGATGATGGGTTGAAACCGGGAGCAAAATAAATCTTTCTTCCTTTCAGCTGGCCTGCACAGACATTGTGTCACAGGGATAGGAAGCTCACTAACACAGCTGGTGTCCCAGAGCAGTGAGTCCCGTACCAATGGTTTTCACTTTTGCCCCCTGACCCCAAGCTTCTAGATCCCTCTACTTCTTGCCTGTCTCCAAAGCCTAATTCCAATGTCTCCTCTGGATGGAACAGCAGGGTTTTTACTGCAGGGAATCAAGTTCAAGGAAGAACAGCTTCACCTGGGACTGGCAGGCAGTTCTGCATTTTCTCTTTAAAGAACATGCCTTAAGATACAGTCACTTCTTAAATCTGCCTCAGAGTTGTGGTGACAGAGACAGAGCATTATTTCAAATATCTCACAGGGCTCCAATTTGGGAAAATGTGCTTATGATCCCCCTTGCTCTCCCCTCACCCCAACTGGCCCTACATGACTTACCCAAGTTCTTTCTACCATTGGTGAATTTTATTGTCTACAATGTCCTTGGCTAAACTCACTGCAAACACCTCTGCTCTAGGCCTAACCTCCACCTAAGTGCTCTAGCTGCCATCCACCACTATGGTGACACAGCTCCCCACTGCCACGTGCAACCTCCCAGTCTAATGAATCACACTGACTAATGACTGAAAGTCTCCTAATTTCCCGATTGAGGTGTGTGTGTGTGTGTGTGTGTTTCTTCCCCCAACCCAGAAAAAATGGACAGTCTGAACAGACACAAAGTGTAGCACCAGATTTCAGAAGACTGAGGGAATGCAGCCAGCCATAGACTCCTAAAGTGATGGTGTTCTTCAGAGAGCTAGGAGCCAATCAAGAGTGTGGGGACAGGGAGCTGTGCCATGGGGGGAGCCAACTTGCAGCAAGAATGAGGCTGAGGCATGTCCAAACCCTGAAAATCTCATTTTGAGTCTGGCAGGAGTAGGACTGTTCCTCCCTGCCCTGGGCCTGCATGTCTCAGCACATGTAGCCGCACAGCCACACACACCACCCCTGCCCCCGGCCTCTGCCACCCTTGAGGTGGCAGACCAGGTTACAGGTTAAACCTCCCCTCTCCTTCTAAGGTCATGACCAACAAGCACCTGGAATTCCTCTTCATGCCAATGAGGCAATCCTAACACTTTGGCCCTGGCAATGAGGTACACTCACCTCCAAAGCCTTTACTAAATCCCCAAATGTTTAAATGTCTTTCCCTCACTCCAATTAACTGAACTGTCGGACTGAAGCTGTTTCCTAGAAGGCTATTTCTTTCAATCTCACCAATATTCTATATCGCACCCATCCACCCTGCTACGCTTCTCTTCCTCCAGGCCAGCTCCGTGGGCAATGAGCCCGAATACCCCAAGGTAGGAAGCAGGCATTGGGCAGCACAAGAGGAACTGGGTTCGTTTCCCAGCATTCTACATTGCAGGTCAAAACTCTAACTCATACCCTCACACAGATAGGCATGCAGGCAAAACACCAAAGCATATGAAATAAAAATAATTTTTTTTAAAGCCAGTCGATTGCTGCTTATATCTACCATGGTCCTAAAATGAACTTTCTATGGAGACACAGATGAAAGAGAATGAGAATTTTGTTGTTTGTTTTGTAAAGTCAAAATGGAAACTTGAGTCTTCTAAAGGTAGTGCTGGAAGAAGAACAAAAAATCTGACAAGTACATTAACCAGGAGTCACCTGAGAGAAACTAAAAGCTACATTAGGCCCATATTATTACGTAGTTAACAATTTAACATACTGTTAAGTAGTTTTGAATTTTCTAGCTGAGTTTTAGTAACATACCCAGGATGAAAATATATCTTCTTCGAACATTATTTTGCAATGAATATTTTCATCTTTTCCAATGTATCTAATGAATCTTGGTGCAGATGTCGAAGGTTCCTAGAGCACAAAACAAACAAACAAACAAAAACCAAGGACCTATTAGCCAGCCAGTGTGTGACACACAGCACAGCAGGTCGCCCAGAGCCCTGTCTGAAATGTCAGCTTTCCATATGTCTCCATCCAGCAGACAATGTTTGAAGGCCTGCTCCAAACACTGATAAAGATGAGGATGGAGGAGCGGGGACAGGAGGAGCACATTATGACTAAAACAAAGAAGTTCATTCCAGACCTCTAAAATTGTGATAGCTACTCTAGGTTGTCACCTTGACTGCACTGAATTGACCAATACTCAAACACCTGGGTACACTGTGATGGGTTTTTCTTAATTAAATCATTTGAAGTGGAAAGAACCAGATTTAATCCAGATCTGTTGAGGTGAAAAGATCCACTCTCTAATCTGGGTTACACCTAAATAGGTCATTTTTATAGGCTGACATGTCCTTTCTATTGGCAGCTGGCCATAGAAGGAAGCAAGCTTCTCTCTTTGCCTGCTTGCCATCACTATGGCAAGTCCATTCCTTAGGATTCCAGCATATACTGAAGACCGGCTGAAACATGACGAAACAAACAGCTACTGGATTCTTGGACCTTCCATTGATAGATAGCCATTGTTGGACACAGCCAACAAACCATTCTAATAAGTCATGGGGGGGTTGTGTGTGTGTGTGTGTGTGTGTGTCTGAACATACACATAGTGTAGCACCAAATTTCAGGAGATGAGTGGAATGTAGCTCACCATAGACTCCTAAAATAGACTCCTTCTACCTCTTTGCAGAGAGGTAGAAGTCAATCAAGAGCTGCTTATGTCTACCATTATCCTATAATAAACTTCCTACAGAGACACAGGAAAGAAAGAGAATGAGTTGTTTTGTTTTGTTTTGTTTTTTTAATTTTTAAAATGAAGTCAAGATGAAAAAATAAGAGTCATAGAAGTAAAGGAATGTTAATTCAGAACATGGCTGTTCTGGCAAGAGATCACATCCAAAGATCTTCTAGTTCTCTGTGATCTGGCTGGAATACAAACACACCTTTAATCCAGAAGACAGAGCAAGCAGATCTGAGTTCAAGGCCAGCCTGAACTCAAGTTTCAGGGAAAGAAAAGCTTAGATAAGGCAGAGTGGTACACTCCTTTAATCTCAAACAGTGAAGGTAAAGTTAGTTTGAAGAAGGAAGCACCCACGTTTGAAATCGATGTCTAATTGAGTGGAAGAAACAGTGACTAATCAGAGAAAGATTTGACAAAATATAATATGCCTTGACAAAATATAATGTCATGAGACGAGGAAATAGAACCTACCTAAGAGACAATGCAGAGAGAAAAGAGGAAGTTTTACCAGGACAGTAATAGAGAGGCAGGTTACAGAGAGAGAACTCGGGTGAAGCCCAAATGACCCAGAGAATGAGAAGGAGCCAGTAGATAAAAACAAATTTTTGGAGTTTGAAGCCCAGCAGAGCAATTCAGAGGCCAAGAGAAAAGCCAGATTGAGCTGGGAGAGGAGTTTGACCCAAAACAGCTAAGTTGAACCTGCCAGCCCAGAGCTCAGTAAAAACAACAAAGGGTGATCTTATTAAGCAGTAAGTCTCAGGGGCTAAACAATTCTAGGCCTTGGTTAGACTGCACGGAGGGTTAGAAGCTTCCAGGATTAGGCCTAGTTAGTCAAGGAGGCAGTAACTCTCCAAGACAACAATTACCACAGGGGAATAAAAGTTCCTTTTACGCATATATGTAATTCTCTAATATCTACCCACAACCGTATATACAGACAGATATACATAAATATATATTTGTGTGTATATATTCATTCTATAAGTTCTGTTCCTCTAGGGAACCCTGACTATTACAGAAACTCAGAACAGCAGGAAACACAGATAATAAGATGAACAATCAAGGCACACAGTGGCTGTTATCATAAAGATGCGTCTCTAAGGGCTGTGTGCACACGCAAGGGCGCCCAGCTCACAGAAAAAAAAAAAAAATGTTTGAAGATTGAATAGGTGCATGTGAATTAGAGAGGAAAGGGCCTGAAGTAAGATCAAAGATGGTCATAGCTTTAACACACTCTGTAAGTAAATGGGAAAGTATTTGGCCTTCCATACAGCAAACACTCTGCCAAAAGTAAAACAGCAAATGCTTGAAAACAGAGGGCTGGGTATTTGCACAATTCTGTTCTGTCCTCCTGCCTCTATTTTGAATAGAAGATATAAAATAGAGTCTGTGGTCAAAGCAATATTTTTTTAACTATTCTTAATATTATTAGTGTGTGGGGCATGCATGGATAAAAGAAGGAATACAAATTTCCATGGAGTCAGTTCTTTCCTTCCACTTTTATATGGGTTCTGAGGCTAGAACTCAGGTTGACAGACATCTTGCCAGCCTCTATGGCAACACTTTAACCATCTGTAGAGACATAAATTGAGAAGTGCGGAGAGCATTGGGTAAGCACGGGCTCTGAGCTGGAGACAGGAGCAGGCAGTGTAGGAATCGATAGGGCTCTCCTGCCGTGACCATCTGGGTTTGAATGCTGATTCTTCCACTTGAAATTATAGGGTTTGAAATTATAGGTCAACCTTTTGGAGCTTAAATTTTCTGTCTATACATGAGGCAATTTATGCCCTATCTTATGCTTGCAGCATGCACAGCATAGAACTCATAATCTACACTCAGTTATTGGTAGCTGTTATTGTGTTGTATTGGGTTTTCACTGCAACAAATTCCTCAGGAGGACTAGGGAGACTCGGAGTAAGAGGAGAAAATTGAGAGACTAGAAAAAGGAAAGGGCAGTACGGCAGGGAAGCTGAAGCAGAGGAGAAGGGAAGTTAAACTTCCTTTTGGAAACTCTAGCAACGATGGGAGAAAGAAAGAGCAGTAGGGTGTGAGGTGGCTGTGATGCTGCTAGTAAGAGGTGGATGAATGAAGCTAATGGGATATATCTGGATTAAGAAAAAAAAGTCACAACGATGAGGACAGGCTGAGTATGCTCAGATGAGGAAAGGGGGAGGCCGAAGCGTTCACTCTAAGAGACCTATCTGTTAACGCTTTAGTCCTTGAAAAGAAGGAAGGGGAAAACTAATGGTAAGTAATCACACACCATTTTTATTTGTCTTCTTGGTTTTTTGTTTTATTTTGTTTTGGTCTCGCTGTGTTGCCAGGTTTTGAACTCCTAGGCTCAATTGAGTCCTGTGCCAGCCTTCCAGGCAGCTGAGATTATAGGCACCTGCCACCATGCCCAGCAAAAATGATCTCACCTGTTCTGTTACTACAACTTCTTCTTCTTCTTCTTCTTCTTCTTCTTCTTCTTCTTCTTCTTCTTCTTCTTCTGCTGCTGCTGCTGCTGCTGCTGCTGCTGCTGCTGCTGCTGCTGGTGTTTTTGCCTCTTCTTTCTTTATTTGGGAGACAACCCTTTTAAACTCAATTTTGTCCTCAGGATCCTCATCAATAAAAGGTTTTTCTGCATCAGAAATCATTTTTGAAGTTTCCTGTGCATATAACAGTGTTATAAATGTAATTCACATATATAAATATTAGCAATTTCATAGTAAATGAGCACTAATCCTACAACTGAGTATTCTGCTATCAATAAGAACACAAACAGGGGTGGTGGGGTAAAGAGATGGCTCAATGGTTAACAGCACATACTGCTCCCAATGTCTATATAAGGCAGCTCAGAGAATCACCTGGAACTACAACTCCAGGGAGATCTGACAGCCTCTTCAGGTATGTGCACAAACCTACACACATATGAATAATTAAAATAATAAAGTCTTTTTAAAAAAACACACACACAAATCTTGTTAAGAGTGGTTCCTGTCTTGAAAAGCTCACCATTTTGCAGACAACACAATGTTATGGATGGAGCATGAATCAGGAACATCTAACCCACAATACATAGTAGACAGGGGTAGCAGGAGGCCAGTCACAAAGGAGCAGTAACAGCAGAGTACTTTTTCTTGTAGTATGAAAAGGGAAAAGAAGAAGGTACAGAGGGGTTCTGAGAAGAAAAGTGGTTCCATAAGACAGAACCTTTAGACAAATGGACCCAAAAGGCACAACCATAACATAGGACTGAACTGTCAGGTTAGCAGACTGTATTGTATCTGAAAGGTAACGAAACATCCAAAAGGCAGAAAAACATTTTTAATTGATCTAATATAAATTCTAAAGCAATCATTCTCACAATAGGAAAACAGGTCAGAAAAAAAAAGGGAAGGAAGAAATCCAAGGAGAGAGTAAACACAGTGTTTGTAGTGGTAAAGAAAAGGGCGATCCAGAAGGTACTAAAGAGGTGGTTCTTTACTCGCCAATAGATGGAAAAAAAATGGTTAGAAAAAAGGTGCATCCTGAGTGACACATGGCTGATGGCTTATGCCACTACTGGAGGGTGATGCCATTCACAGAGATAACGGATAAGGTTGAGGAGGCAAGTTTGGGAGTGACATAATTTTCGGTTAGGCTGTGTGCTCTGTGTTCAAGGCACTACTGAGATGGCTAAGTGTAAATGCATCTGGAGTCTAGCGATTCCAATTTGGGCTAAATATTTAACAGTTATATGCATTTAATTCAAGCTAAGAAAATAAACCACATTTCCACATAAATTTGTGGAGTGGTCCAAGATAGAAACTAGTTAGATAAAACTGTAGAGAAGAAAAAAGGTCCCATAAGTAGCCCCAGAAGTCTGAGAGCTAGCAGGAGAGCCCAGAATGAAAAGGCCTTAACAGTGTCCAATGCCTGAAAGGGGAGTATTCAAATACTGATCAAAAAAAAAATTGTCCATACACATCAGAGTGAGGGTGCAGAATGCTGAATACAAAAAGTAGCCAGAGAAGCCCGGTGCGGTGATGCATGCCTTTAATCCCAGCAGAAGCAGGCCTCCCAGTTCCATAGCGTCGGGCAACTGTACAGGCTTCCCAGGGCCTCCCAGCAGGTGACCTTATGGACCTTCTTGGTCTGCAGCAGTAGCGGACAGCTGTACCAGCCTCCCAAGTCTGTGAATGGTAGGGTGGCAGCTATCCCTAATAGGAGCCTCCGTGATCCCTGACTGAGACAACAAAGGTGGCTACCCCAAATAAGGATCTCCCTGCCCAGCGGACCAACAGTAGACACCACTGAGCTGACAGATCTCCCACATTCTCATTTGCCCCTGTAGACCCATATCTGAGAGTGGAGAGAGGGGGAACCCCTGTGCTTTCTGATTAGGCCTGCTAGCAAGTGAGTGCACCTTCAAGTGAGTGCTTGTAGAACCCCAGATCCGGGTCCCTCTACACTAGCAGCCAGACATTGGATCCCTCCCACCCACATATCCACTATGAGCAACATAGGGATCCTTGGGACAGTGTTCTCAACGTTGAAGCCCCTGTTCTGTGGGTACACCAGTGGAGTCCAGGCAAACAGTTCCTGGAGCCTAGACAGATCTGAATCCCAGGAAGACAGTATGACAGGCCTGTAGGTCACTGAGGTGTTCAGGGCACCTGCACATGCGAATTGTGCCTGTGAACAGTGCCAGCACCCGCACCCATCCTGTGCTTAAGCGCCACGTACCAGACATCTAGACACTCTAGCACCCTGTCCTTCAAGGCACACTTCCACGCACAGGCCCGCACTTGTTCACCCACACGTGTGCGCCTGCGACCTTCCTCCCTTAGCAACAGCTGAAACAGCAACATCCACTCTCAAACCAGTGGACCTCGCTCATCTTTCTGAAGAATATTCCAGACACCAGAGAAAGACAGACCCACTCTGAAGTACAGACTCCAGAAACAAACAGCAAAGGTTATGAATAAGCTGATGGCTAGGGGTCGATTTACAAACACATCCAGCAAAAATAAGGACATCATGATTTCACCAGCAACCCCAAAAACCAATGGACATGCTAATTCATTGGAAACACAGGAAATTCTGCTCAATTCTGGGCTTATCCAGATATTAGAGGCACATAAAGAGGAAAGGAACAAAGCTCTCAAAGAAATACAGACAAATACAGCCAAATAAATAGAGGCACAATTAGTGGCATATAAAGAGGAAACAAACAAAAAATAGAGGCTATTATGGAAAGACAGGAATACACATTCAAACAGATGAAGGAAATGGTGCAAGACATGAAAACAGAATCAACAAAGAAAACACAAACAGAGTAAACCCTGTAATTGCAAACCTAGAGAAAAGATCAGGAACCACAAAGCATCACCAATAGAAAACGAGAGATAGAAGAGATAATCTCAGGCGCTGAAGATACGCCTATATAAATTAATACATTTCTCAAATAAAAGGCAAAATCAGAAGATTTCCAAAAAAATTCCAAGAAATGAAGGATGCCACGAAAAGACAAAATCTAAGAATAATAGGAATAGATGAAAAGGAAGATTCCAGGCTCCAAAGTCCAGAAAATATTTTCAAAGAAATCAGAGAAGAAAATTTTCCCAACTTAAAGAAAAAGATATCCATAAACATAAAAGAGGCCTACAGAACACCAAATACACTAGACCAGAAAAGAAACTCCTCACGTCACATCATAATCAAAACACTAACTCTACAAAGAAAAAATATTAAAAGCAGAAAAGGGAAAAGGCCAAGTAACATATAAAGGTAGACTTATCAGAATCACACCAGACTTCTCAACAGAAACTATGAAAGCCTGAAGGGCCTGGGAAGATGTCATGTAGACTCTCAGAGAACACAGATGCCAATCCAGACTATTATACCCAGCAAAGCTTTCAATCACCATAGATGGAGAAAACAAAATATTCCATGACAAAACTAAACTTAATATCTACACAGCACCCCAGCCCTACAGGAGACACTAGAAGGAAAACTCCAATCTAACAAAATCAACTACACCGGATATAGATAACTTCACAACAAAACACAAGATATAGATAACTTCACAACAAAAATTAGAAGAAAACAAACATTGAAACACAGTAACTCCAGCAACTCCACAAAAAAAGGAACTAATATTCATTGCTCAATATTATCTATCAACATCAAAGGACTCAACTCTCCAATAAAAAGACACAGATGTACTGAATGGTTGCAGAAACAGGATCCAACATTCTGCTGCATCCAAGAAACACATCTCTGCAACAAAGATAAACACTACCTCAGAGTAAAGGGCTAGAAAAATGTTTTTTAAGCAAATGTGCCCAGAAAACAAGCTGGAGTAGCTATCCTAATATCTAATAAAACAGACTTTCAACCAAAAGTAATCAAAAACAATGAGGAGGGGCACTTGCTTCTCATCAAAGGAAAAATCCACCAGGAGGACATCACAATCCTGAACATCTATGCCCCAAATACAAGAGCACCTGCATTTGTAAATGAAACATTATTAAATCTTAAATCACACATCGATCCCAACACCTTAACAGTGGGAGATTTCAACATTCCACTCTCACCAAGGGACAGATCATCTAGACAGAAGCTAACTAGGGAAATAATGACACTTACAGAGATCCCATAGCAAATGGACCTAATAGATGTCTACAGAACTTTTCACCCAAACTCAAAAGAGTATACCTTCTTTTCAGCACCTCATGGAACTCTCTCATAAATTGACCAAATAGTCGGGCACAAAGCAAGCCTCAACAGACACAAGATCAAAATAATCCCTTGTATACTACCAGACCACCATGGCCTAAAACTAGACCTCAACAACAACAGAAATAACAAAAAGCTTACATACACACGGAAACTAAACAACTCTCTACTCAAAGACAGCTTGGTCAGGGAAGAAATGAAAAAGAAATGAGAGACTTCCTAACATTCAATGAAAATGAAGGCACAACTTACCCAAACTTATGGGACACAATGAAAGCAGTGCTAAGAGAAAAGTTCATAGCACTAAGTGCCTTCAAGAAGAAATTTGAAACATCTCATTCAAGCAACTTAATGGCTCACCTAAAAGCCCTAGAAAAAAAAAGAAGCAGACACACCAAAAAGGAGTAGATGGATGGAAATAATCAAACTCAGGGCTGAAATTAATGATTTAGAAACAAAGAAAACAATTCAAAGAACCAATGAGACCAAGAGCTGGTTCTTTGAGAAAATCAACAAGATAGACAAACCCTTTGCCAAACTAACTAAAAGGCAGGGAGAAACTATCCAAAGCAGCAAAATCAGAAGTGAAAAGGGGGACATAACAACAGATACTGAGGAAATCCAAAGAATCATTAGGTCTTACCTCAAAAGCCTATGTACCATAAAATTTGAAAATGTAAATGAAATGGACCATTTTCTTGATCAATTCCACTTGCCAAAGCTGAATCAAGAACAGGTAAATCAATTAAATAGTCCTACATCCCCTAAAGAAATAGAAGCTTTCATCAGAAGTCTCCCATCCAAACAAAGCCCAAGGCCAGATGGTTTCAGTACAGAATTCTACCAGACCTTCAGAGAAGAGCTAACACCAATACTCTTCAAAATATTCCACAAACTAGAAACAGAAGGAATATTACCAAACTCATTCTATGAAGCCACAGTCACC